ACCACAAAGGATATCCCGACGAGATCCGGTTGATAATTTGAACATGATAGCTAGTGAACGCCATGACCGCCAACAGGCCCTGGGGAACCGCTAGCCGTGTAAGCATAGACCCCGGGCTAGTTGACGAGGAAGACGGACTCTGCAACGCCCACACAGCAGACCGGCATAGGACAGCCAGCATTGGCCCAGCCAGCAGGAAAAGGGGGAGGTTGGAGATGGTCCAGTATCGCAGGAACCCGACATCCCTAGAAAGAAGTTAGCATGACAACATCAACGGCCACCAGGGAAGAAATCTTGCTTACCAATAGTGGTTCTGGACCCAGCCGTAGATACTAGGCACAGTCCACTCGCACCACGGCTGAAGATCAGTCTCGGACATGCAGTACATGCGATAAGCCAAGAACTGCGGAATGACCATCCCAGATGCGACGATACAGCCGCCGAGAATAATAACCGCGAGACGAATCGTGTTGTGCATCGTAGGCCCGTTGGTCAGGATCTTCCAAGCCAGTACCACCGCATCATAGGCAAACAAGAACCCACTCAGGACTCCGTTGCTGCGGACCATGGTAGCTACCGCAAAGAGAATTGCAGAGGTCAGGACCCGAAAATCTCGCAGACCCGTTGCTCCATTGCGCTCAGCAATCAGGGACGATGAGTAAAGGTAGAAGCCGGTCATATTGAGGAAGGAGACTATCGACTCTCCATACGGCGCAGACAGAAACGCGCCAGCTGGCGAGATAATATGCAGAGCCGCGGACAAGAAGCAGATGAGATGCTGAGCGGCTGTTGCATGGCCAAAGATGTTTGCCGAGAGGCGGTAGAGTGACAACACAGACAGATAATGGGCGACGTGGGAGAGAGCCACTCCCACCACTGCGGTGGTATTTGGCCCAGTTATTCCACCAGAGAGCTGGATGCCTGTTCAACACGATCAGTTATGCCAATTACAATGCCTGGGATAGATAGGAGAGATGTACCGGATACGAAAAGGGATAGAAGCTTAGTGTAGCCCCAGCCAAAGGCCCATTCTTGCTCATAAATGTATCCCTTTTCGGCAATGTCGAGAAAGTAGATGGCGTCCCATCTGGCAAATTTCAGGGGACCCGAGAGCGGCTCCGAGTGGTCGCCCGTTGGATTGGCAGCATACGATATCAAGGAGGTGGAGGTGTCATAGCCCACCCCTGGACAGTAGGCCACGACAAAGTACAACACAGCCTTCCATAGCCAGAACGCGACTGTTAAGCTGCGAATGGGGTTGTCCAAGCGCAGTAGTGTGGCGTACAGTGGCGGCGGCCTTGTAGTCGGCTGAGCTGAAGCCATTCTGCCCAGATTTTAGAAATAAGGACCGAGGGACTTCCCAATGCGGATAGGTGTACCAGGTGAAGAAGTTGGCCTGGCATAAAAGCATAATTAATCAGCGGGTGTCAATGCCGCACATCCGATAACTGTGACGTATTTGGAATAGCCTCGGCCATTGAGTGAAACAGGTAAACTTCATTACTCAACCTTGGAAATCAGTTCAGCCTTAAGCTATATCATTGGGTCGCCACATGGAGCTAGGGCGACCGCTAGATCGAACCTAAAGGTGATCATATATAATCAAGTTTCTTAGGTCGACTGTCGGAGTACCTTATACATCTACAATATTATGGCTACACGTGACCAATATCGCTATATATCTCCCTTTGTAAAGTCTCAATTCTCACTTTGAAACATGCCCCAGCAGGCGCGGGAATCTGGAATCCGCTTCTACCAAGCAGCGGATCTTGGATCTTTGTTTAACCAAGGAATCATTGATACGAAGATCGGGAGATTAGTAAACACTATGTCCGTTGGCCGGACTAGATGGGAGGTGGACACGGAGCCTACGGAGCCTATTCATCCGAAGGTGAAGGTTTAGCATAATCTACAGCGGGAGGAAAAGTCTGCTATGAGCGTGACAATCCCCACTTCGTATAACGTTGACTCGCACAAATGAGGAACCAAAGAAAAGGGATTTACCGCAATAATATAACTTATGGGTCTTGCCAAGGAGACAGGCAATAATCCTTGTAACCATGACGTCCCGGGTTTCGGAGGCTTGCAAAATGATCACCGCGGATGAACCGGATGATTCGGAGACCGTACAAGGCCGATCCCGTAGGCACAAATTGCATTCATTATTCACGATCTGATCCACCTAGCTGGTGCCTTTTCCTCGTTTTTCTATAAGGCTGACCGCCCATTGTACAGCCTCTACGACTCCCTCTTTTGCAAAACATTCCCCCTTGCATCAGCCAGCCTCACATCTCAGTGCAGGTGTCACTTTCATCGTACATTTCCTTTCTTTTAACGTTACTCCTTTTGCTTCTGTCACCTTTAGACTTGGACATCTTTCCACACCCCGGGGCTGAACTTTCCCCGCAGCTGACGCGTTGAAATCCGGTCTACGTCGTGAATACCTGGCCAGCTAAACAACTAAACAACTTGGCACTCTACACCAATGTGGCTCCGCTAGGGCTCAAGAATGCTGTTGAATCTTGGCCTTACAGCGGATGCCGCAGCTGCCCACACAAATGATCCGAATCCACCAGTCAACTCTCCAGTGTTTTCCTTGTCAGCCCTGCCATTGCTGAGCACTTTCTACAAGCCTAAACAATCCGATGGTTCTGAGGGGTGTCCTGGGCTAATCTCGGGACTTGCATCCGCCATGACCATGAGTCCGGTCGAGTCCGCAGAGAGCGAAGGGGAATCATCACAAACACAGCAGCCTCCTAGGCCTCGTACTAGCCGTGCAATGTCTGGTCGGAAGTCTACGCGGCTCAAAACTTCTTACCAGTTCGCCCATCCTGCCTCGCACGCTCGTCACAAACGGTTACGACTTCGCCCTAAACTGCTTTTACAGCTGCAACAGGTGTCGCAGACCCCTCGCCCGCTGCCAGTCGTCGATGTCCTCCCGTCGACTTCATATCTGCCCCTCTTGGCTCGCAAGTTCCCTGCCATATATCGCACCAGAAACGGCCTGGGTCCGTATGATTTGATTGTAGTAATTAGCGAACAATACGAGCGGACGGTGACAAGCATCCCCGAGAAACATGTGAGCTCGGAGGACGAGGCCGAAGATCATCGCGAGGTAGTGGCAACCATCTGTCAAAAGACGCAAGAAGATGCTCGGTTGAAAGGGAAGGCGGACATCTGTTTGAACTTTGGACCCGTTTGGGAGGCAACTCCCCTTCCGAGTGGCTCATACGAGTTTGTTGCGCAGACCGAGAATGGTGCACAGGTTGTGCGATGGGCTTTGCGCGGTGGGAGGAACCGTCGGATGACTGCGCCTGCGGGAATGAACTCCCGCGATGAAGGCAAACGATTCACCTTTAGCGTTATCGACCCGACCACCCGCCGACACCCTGTCATTGCATCCATGACTCGCAATCAGTTGGAAGTCCACGATGAGTACTCGATGACTGCCCGGACCGGTACTGGCCCTACAACTCCGACTTCAGCTATGTCCGTGGTGAGCGATGCCTCAGATGATACCCCACTCGATGCGAATATTGTTACGCTTGATGATGGATTGCGAACTTTGATCATCACCACCGGCATCTGGGTCGCCTTTCGCGAGGGATGGTCCCATAACTTCAGTTATGGAGACCCCGTTTCTTCCGGCGCAAAACCAGTCACGTCCCCGTCAGCCTCAAGAAATACTTCTCCGACTGTAGCCAGGAATGTTCACGATGCTTTTCCTGAAAATGATGAAACCAGCCCCACAAAAGGATCCGCTAGCGGCATGCGCTGCATGTCAATTTCAAGTGTTCGACGTTCCAATACGACAGCCGCGGCGGATGACAAGCAATTTGGGAGCCTGTCGAAGCGCTCAAACTCGACTGGTGCTGCATTCATGGACCGAGCTAAACGACGTTCTGCCTCGGGGTTGAGCACTCGACTGAACCGACACAGCATGTTCACCACGGGCGAGCGTGGCCGCGATATCGTCGTCTCACGCTCTCGCCCTGCATCCATACGCCAAAACTCCTCCGAATCAGACGAACCGTTCCGCCCTGTGCCTCCCCGGGCGAAAACCCCTAACTCCAAGCCGGAGACGGAAACCACAAAACCTACTTCGGGACCAGACAAAGACCTCCCAGCTTCAGCCCCCCGCCAAGGACAGAAAAGCCATCGAAAAGAAAAGCCCGAAGCCCCAAACCCAGAAGCAGTCGATCCAACCCCAAAACTCAAACGTCGCCACCGTCTCAGTACCTTCTTCAACATGTTCAGCAGAAAACACGATAACCATTGACCTCTCCATTCCTTTTCATAGTGGGGCCATACTGTGGCTAGTCCACACGTCTCCTCAAAACTACTATCCAGTCAGATTCCATCTAGCATCCCAGGGCGTTCGCATACATTCAACACTGCGATCCGTCTGGCACGGATCCTTGTTGATTTCTTTTCAATTCCTTTCCCTATCCTATTCCCCTTTTGTCAACTCGCCTCTCTGTCTCATTCCAACTAGCATCATGCATCTTTTGCATCTGCGCATATCCGTTCCAGTTTTCTATTCTTTTCCTTACCCTGTACCATGTGTTCATGGCTCATGTCTTATTATCTCTCGATATGTGTATCCTTGGATCTTGTTTCATGTACATCGCTAGCCATCTATCCATCATGATGAACATGAATAAAATACCCCATTATCGACGAACTTTTGACTTCTTGTCAGCTTTCACTTATGAACTCAGCTGCCGTAAAATCACTTGAATGCTTTCACTAGATAAGAGATGCTTTCATTAGATAAGAGATGAACTAGTCTCGTCAGATGCAGCATTGCTTGGCTGCCCATTCACGAAAAGTCCCTCCAAACCATGAGTTGTTAGACCTGATGTGCATCCCCCTATTTTGTATCAAGGAACTTCTACAACAAACATAATAGCAACATACCAGACAACAAATCTCAATTTACAAAATATCCAAATTGCAACCAAAAGAAACAAACCCCTCCTTCCCCCAAACCCCAAAATCTACCTCTCAAGAGCAGAAACAGTCTTAGGAACATAAGGCTCCTCAAGATACAAAATCTCCTCCTCCGTCAACTTAACCCTAATACTCTCAACAGCCTCATCAATCCGCTTAACACTAGAAAGCCCAACAATAGGATTCTCCCCCTCATGAGATAACGACCAAGCAAGCGCAATCTGAGCCATACTCAACCCCTTTTTCTTAGCAAGTTCCTCAACCCGCCCAATAATAACCTCGTCAGCCTCCGACTCCCGGTTCCGCACAAACATCTTCAACGCACCATCCGTGTTCTCGCGCACCGTGCCGCGAGAGTTGTAGGGACGGGCTAGGGCGCCTCGAGCGATGGGCGACCACGGGATAATGCCCACCCCGGCGTCTTGGCAGTATGGGATCATTTCGCGCTCTTCTTCGCGCGCTAGGAGGTTGTGGTAGTTTTGCATGCTAATGAATTTGTGGTAGCCTTTGTTGATGGCTATGTTTTGGAGGGATTGGAATTCCCAGGCGGCCATCTAGTGAAGCGTGACTTGTTAGATGATGTATTCCATATATCCATCTATACGTGGAGGCACTTACCGAACTAGCACCAATATATCTCACTTTCCCACTCTCAACAACATCATTAAGAGCCTTCATAATTTCCTCCCGCGGCGTCTCCCGATCCAACCGGTGGATCTGCAGTACATCAATGTACGTGCCCAGTCTGGCAACGCTGGCGTCCACAGCGTCGAAGATATGCTTGCGCGACAAGCCGACTCGGTTGACGAAGTCGTTGTCGTTGCGTCCGCTTGCGGAGATCGGTGGGTATTTGCCTTCATCGTCGACGCCGAAGAAACACTTTGTCATGATTACCACGCGGTTGCGGGGGATGTTGTATTTCTTTAGGGCTTTGCCGACTACTTCTTCTGATTTGCCGTGGGAGTAGACGTCAGCCTATTGGATTGTTAGTTTATGTAGGTTAGATATTTGGAGGGGAACATGCCGTATCCCAGGTGTTGATGCCTCGCTTGTAGGCGTGTTCGATTAGTGGCAAGGAGTCCTCTTCGTCGAGAACCCAGTCTTGCCAGTCTTTGCTACCGTAGCCCATTGTTCCCAGGATGATCTTTGAGATCTTTAATCCTGAGTCTCCGAGGCTGGGATTGGGGTTTTGTTAGTATTTTTTCTTTTTAACGTTCATTGATGTTGGAGGATAAGGAGTTTGTACCGGACATATTCCATCTTGGTTTCAGCCATTGTGGATGACTTGTTCAGATCACTGTTTCTGTATAAAGTCAGTTCAATTGTGCTTCATGGATATTATAGTGCATTTCGGATATGACGTCAAGGCCCGATGAGGGGAAGTATAGCTTGGAAAACTTACAAATGCGCACAAGCAGGTAGTTGATAATTGCCAGACAGTAGGAATAGAAGAAAGATAAATCGTCAACTTAAGTGAGAATCGCGGCGTGAGTCAACTCAATATCCACTTTTCGGTCAAGAGTCGAATTGCCGAAATCAACAAGCGGGCGTCTCTTAACCGATGAGTTCCCGGTGGGCTTTCCGTCCGCCCATTCACAGCGTCGATCGGCCTAGAAGATCGGATGTTGGAATCTGGGGTTCAACCGGGACTCTACAGACTCACTACCCCTGAGCAATATGCTCGGATGACGTTGGTCTACAGAGAGTCCTGCAAGATAGTGTAGGACCGATCATTTCATAGATTGGCTTAAATGTCATTCATAATGGAGGTGTTCACCCACCGGCCTTTCAGATCGAACTCTCCGGTCGCTTGACTCGGACTCACCGTCTGCTGTGCAGGGTGTTCGTGGGGTTTGATAGGCCCAACGTACGTACGGTCTCCGTTCTTTCTGCAGTTCTCTTTATTGGGCGTATAAGGCTGATACAGCACACGAAGTATTCCATCATAGCCAAAGCGCCATCTATATTCCACAGTAGTGACTAGATACCTAGCCACGTCCATGTGTAGAACAGGCAGAAGGCTGAAGAAAGGGGCAAGGATCATGACCTTGTAGTTGAAGCTAATGGATTTTGTCTAAGAGAAACAGAGAGAGCGAGAAAGAGATTTATGGAAGCGATCCCGGTACTATCAACTTGAATTATAAACCTTAACAAGCATGAATAGGTTTTGTCTCGTCTATGTTATGTTCACAAGTTGCATTGAATCCAATTCCCCTAAATTATAGTACGCGGGTCCTTTCGTAGCCAATCCTAAAGCAGTACTAGTAAGAAGCAAATGCGCGCAGGCCGTTTGCTGTAGGCGAGCAAACGTATACAAACGCAAGGGTGTGAAAAACCACGATAATTCCACGCCCCTCGTCCATCTCACGATACTGCCACGCACAACAAACCAGCCTTCAACTTCCATATCATTGCCCTTGGCTCTGATTTGCCCATTATGCTGATCCCTGAGCCATGGATGCGTAAGATCATTCCCCTTATATTGATGAGTTACAGAAGCTTACCGATTTAGACGTCCATGGGCGCCAGCAATCCACCTGGAATCCAATCTATTTCGTACCCAGCCGCCTACGCACCGAGATTCTAAACGAGCCATTTGAGGCACTTCGAGTCTGCTGTATTACTGCGGAAGATCTATTCGGGCCCAATGACTGGGCCCTCTTCCTCTCGACCTCCGAAGAACAGAGAACCGCCGTGCAGCTCGACTGCTGCGTCAGCACCCATCCCGATGTCCTACGTCCCATTCTCGCCGGTGGGCGCAAGGCCAATGTACTCTTCAGTGTTAGAGAGTACCTGGTTCCCTTGGACACGGAGTTGAGCTGTAAGATTGACGTTGTCTCGGGTATGACAATTCGGGATGTCTACGAACAAGTGATTGAAGCTGGACTCCACAAGTTCGAATTCACCAGGAATGGCTTCGGCCACCGGCACTGGATCCGGTCATTTATTCACCACCTTTCGGACAGCGGCTTCTTCGTTGACCAGGCCCAGGTTGCGCAGGCTAAGGAGAGCCTCCGGATGATTTGGCCCGGTGGATTTGACCTTCCCATTAACGAGGGATTGTTCTATTAGTGGGGGATGGTGGACTCAGCACCAGTGCATGATCACTGTTTTGAGGTGTGGTTGCTTTACTTTTTTGTTCTCCTAGTTTTACATCTCAACTCAGATTCTCGTGGATCCCAGTCCTAGTAGGCCTGAACTCAGTCAATAATCTCCGGGCCGATAGCCTTATTTCAACCTTGGCGGCCGGGGATTTGTCGGTTGGTACGTAAACAGTAGTGGCCACGAGCCATAAAGAGGGTCCTGAAGTGTGGTGTGGAGGGGTTCATCTTAGTATTCCCCCGAGCTGCATCATAGTTCACAGTAATACCCGCCTCCCCCTTCGTGAATGCTTGATTTCATAGGCATACATAGCAAATCAAAGGACTGAGTATCAGCCATCAATGAAACCGTGTATCTGATTAGACACCCTCCTCACTATCGCTAAGAAAATGATGATATCGCTGCTACCGTTTATAGCTTCCTACGTTACAACGGAGGCGAAATACTCTACCGTGATATCATAGATAGTCGAGTTGCATAAGGTAAACAGTTAGTTAACTAATTGATTTTGAAGCCCGATCTTTGTTGTCATTACTACCAAAAAAGTGGACACTGTTTAGTCGTATATGTAAATAGTGTGGTGCATTAAGAGTTGCGTGCGTGCAATTACCACGAACAGCCCTAAATGTTTTGCTGGAAAAACCGCAGATACCTATAGAGCAACAAAGCAAGATAATTTCAGACCACCAATCGCTAGTAATCTTCAATCTCAAACCACGAGCCTAGGGTGATGCTATGTTAAACGTACTAGCGAACACATACCTTCATACTGTGGAAGGTTCTTTAGAGATATTGCACGTAGTGGGAACTTCAAGCTCTAAGTTATACCATTGATTGCCACGCAGTGATTAATTGGAACACCATACCAAATACCAGTGCCATGGTAAAACTTTCTACTTTTAGTCCGAAACAGAAGGTCGCGTAGGCAGACATATAAGAGGGAAAGTCCCCCTTTAAGCTAAAAAAAGGCCGGCACAGTGCGTTGTGGATCATACCAGAGTTTTCAAGCTTTTATTCCTTCACTTCACAGGACCCTTGTTCCGTACCTGTCCTTTTATGTTTCACGTTTCTCATATTCTCACCCACTCCGCGCGTATAGTCCTCGGTCACGTGCAACATATATTTCTGCGTGGATTACGTCATATCCCCAACCTTCTCATCCCAAAGCGGCAAAAAGGAACCCGAGTACGACACCTCTCTATGAAGGCTCGCTCCATGAAGGAAAACACGCAGTCCGTGATCCGATCGCGGAAATCTCATCACAAGTCCCGTGCTGGATGTGGAAACTGCAAGAGGAGACGTATAAAAGTAAGCCGTTCCTCGGTCTTGTCATCAACATCCGCATACCACCTGAGCACCTTGAGTCCCATTGCCACAGAATGAACCAGATAGAGATGAAAAGGAGCAAGAGGTCCAGTCTACTGAGGCTTCTACGCTCGCTGCTCTGTTTTGTTCCTTGGCAGACGCGGGCAATAGACAGCGAAAGCCTTCAAGAGACACTTTCTGACAGCCCACAGTGTGATGAAAAAAAGCCGGCATGCTCAAAATGCATCCACCATGCCATCGAGTGCGACTTTCAGCAAACAGCAGCTGCATTATCAGCCTCGCCATCCTCAGCACCATCTCCGCCTGCATCATCTAAAGGTTCAACAGGGCGGTTCAGGTTCAAGCCGTCCAAATATCAACCCAAAGAATCCACATCGGATGAGACAAACCAGCCTTCTCCCCAGAACGTCTCCACAGAGATCCGACCAAATGACCAAAACCCCCAAGATACGCTCTCCTTCGCCGACCTCCGCCTCTTCCACCACTTCGTCACGGAAACATACCGCACCCTGGCCGACGAAGGAGTAGACCGCAACCGCATCTGGCAATCCCACCTCCCACAATGGGGTTTCTCAACCCCATCAATTTTCCACCTAATCCTCGCTCTGGCAGCCCTGCACTTAGGCCATCTCCAACCAGAAAAGAAAGACCAATATGTCATGCAAGCGGACAACCACTTCACCTTCGGCATCCGATCTGTAACAGCCATCCTATCCACTCTGAACGAAGAAAATTGCCAATTGATCTACATGTCCGCGGTGATGATCTGTTTCGTTTATTTCGGACATGGACCTCGACCCGGTGAATACCTTGTCTTTAGTGAGACTGGAAAGGCTGAATGGCTTGTTCTCATGCGAGGCGTGCGATCGATCCTGATGTCGAGTCGTGATAAGATATTCAGCGGCGTCTTAGCTATTCAGACGGATCCGAGCGTTGCTGGTATTAGTCCGGAATATCAGGATGAGCTTCGGACACATCGATCTCATATCGAAGACGCTCAACGATTCATTGAGACGCAAGTTGGTGGGACCCCGGCTTATGAAATGTATATTGGGGCTCTTGGGAATTTGATTGAGATGTTTGATGAGGCTTATTGTATTCGAAGTTCTGGCAAAGATGGTGTGAGTCTGATGCATGTTGTTGTTGGGTGGATTTATCGGCGGCCTGAGGAGTTTATTGGTTTGCTTGAGAGCAAGGATCCGTTTGCGTTGATTATCCTTTCCTACTGGTGTATTTTGTTGAAGTTTATGGGTTCTTCGTGGCTTATGATCGGCTGGGATCGACATGTCATTGCCGGAATTCAGTGGTCTCTGGGGGCTGATTTCCATCGTCATATTGAGTGGCCTGTTAGTGTTATTTGCAGTTGATTCAGTGGTCACTAGAGGCTCAGTTCAATCATCGTATTGAGTGGCACAATCCAGAAGCTTATAGACGAGAAGCAGGCGATAGGGACCAAAGCTAGAGACCTTCAGTGGAAGGTGGGCTGTCTTGAGGCAAAGAGCGACGCCCGAAATCCCAAAAGACATGTCTGGTGGGGAGCGATCAAGAATGCAGAAACTAGTTTCAACCAGCTACAGCGACAGTTGCAAGCCAAAAAGGGTCAGCTGAATGAAACCGAGTCTTCGATCGACCTCCGAAAGCAGTCCATCGAAGAGAGCGCCGACCCCACAGACAAGACTGGCATGTCGAAGTAGGAGCATCGCCAAGCGGCGAAAGAACCACTGTCTCCGGACAGCACGATGGCTTTGCTTGACGCCGCCCTGGGAAGCCAGATGTTCCGCCATCGCGGACTACCGGAAGAAGAGCCTCGAACTTGCAAACTAGCGAGTGGAGTCGTTGGAGACGGCTTGTTAGTGTTATTCCATTGACCGAGAGGCACCGAAAGAATAGAAATAATTGAAGTTGTCTAATTGTATGTAAAACAAGCAAGATATTAACATGGACTCATAAGAAATCATCACCACCCTCATCTAACCCCAAACATCCTCCTGCCACTTATTCTTCTTCTTGATAGCCTTACTCCAGTTATTAACCTCATCATCATTCCACCCCTTAACATCCTTCATAGTCAACCCAACAGCCTTCTCAACCTCCCTCGCCATGCCAGCCCGCCCACAAACATAAAAGTTACCACCCTCATCAAGAAGCTTAACAACATCCTCCCCAAACTCAGCAACACGGTCCTGCACATACTGCCTCGGCGACCCCTCAAGCCTCGAGAACGCAGTAACAATCTGCAACCGCTCACCCAACGCCTGCTGCATCTCCTCTAGCTCTTCCCGGTAGATATAATCCTCGTTCGGGTTCCGACATCCGAAGAAGAGAATCATCGGTCCAACCTCTTTGCCAATCTTCAGCACTTGACACCGCTCAGAGAGGAATGCGCGGAATGGCGCGAGACCTGTGCCTGCGGCGACCATTACCAGAGGCGTCTTGCCCGTAAGCGGTAATTTGAACTTGCTGCGGCGGATATGGGCGAAGACCTTCCCGCCCTCGAGGGCATCGCCGGGTCCATTGAGGTGGTATGTGATGCCGCCGGGGTGGGGTTGGGAACGGGCTTGTTGGGAAATGGCGAGGAGGTAGTTGGATGTGACGCCGTGGATGAGTTCGTTGGGGTTATCCGGTAGAGGGGATGTGGAGACGATGGCTGTGATGGATGGCTTACGCGGTGAGACCACGCTGCTGGAGGAGATGGAGTAAAAGCGTGGTTTGATGTGCGGGATGGTTTCGACGAGGTAGGAGAGTGGAAGATTCGACCAGGGTTTGTTCGGGCATGCTAGTTGGAGTAGGCGGCCGAGGTTGATGTGTGTGCGGTTAATGAAGCTGGCGTAGGTTTCTTTGTCTTGGCCGAGGTTGAGGAGGTAGGCTTTCGCCTCTGGGGTGGGTGCGAATTGGGCTAGGTCGCGGACGTTGTCGCGGTTGACTGGGGCGCAGATCTCGAGGTAGTAGCGGAAGAGGGCGATAGAGCTGGTTGGTGTTGGGATTGTGATCTTTTCTGCTGCGTCGAGGGCTTTGATCCCCAGGGGGATGTCGCGACGGGATGAGATGCCGAGGACGTCGAGGAGGCGTTCGACTTCAATGTCTGGGTTGCCTGGCCAGATGGCGAGATGGTCTCCCGTCTTGTAGCCCAGTTCGGGTTGGCTGCTGAGGTCGATGTCCATGTGAAGACAGTGTCTGTCGGACGCAGTGAAGAGCTCTCTGGACTCAGAGATGCTCAGGGTGCGAACGGCCGAGGATTGAGCAGCAGCCTTGGGGGCCTCGATACGGCTGTTGGGCTCGCCATGGTGCAGGTCGATTGGCTCAAGAGATTCATCCTCCTCGACCTTCAGGCTCGGGATGTATTTAGCCTCGGCCTCTTCAAAGCCCAGCTTGTCTTTGAAGATCTTGAACAGATCCTCCTTCCAGGACATGAAGTCTTCCTCGGTAGCACCTTCTGCATCATTTGCCTTGCCGACTGGCATGAGAGCTTGGGCGCCAAACTTATCCAGGCCCTCAACAACAACATCGACAACACGGTTATAGAACTTATAGTTGGTATTACCCAAGCCAAAAGCAGCATATCGCAGATTCGACAAAGACACATCAGTAGCCTTCGAGATCCAGCTCCAAAACTCTGCAGTGTTGTCACTGGGATCACCCTCACCATATGTCGAGACAACAAAGATCGCCAACTTAGCATTGGGGATCTCACTGATTGTGACAGGGTCATAGTCGGACAGATCAGCCGTCATAGCGTCCTGACCCCAACGAATAGAGATCTCGCGCGCAAGACGGTGAGCAAAGCCCTCTGCTGTGCCGGACTGGGATCCCCAGAAGACAACGACATTCTTCCCTGCCTCTTCCAGCTTCTGTGCGATGTTTCTGGTTTCCTTGTTTGCGGACCTGAGTTGCCCGCCATTCTTTAGCTGTGGTCTTTCGAACCAGAGATGGTGGTATGGGTCTGGCTTATCCCATAGCAGGCCGCGAGATAGATATGTTGCACCGACTCCGCCCAGAACTGCGAGGGCGGCATAGTCGGCTAGGCCGGTCGGGGTGGCGTATTTTGATAGCTCCTGCAGGAGCTCTGGGGGGATGTTGAACTGTGGGAAAGTTGACATTGTGTTGGACAGAGGTATATGGGGGGTATCAATTTATCAAGAGAAAAGAAAAGGTCGAGTCTTAAGAAGTAGGCATGGAGAGAAGACTAGATTTATGAGAGGGAAGAATCACAATGTGCAACAAGTAGAAAATATTCAACGAAATCCGGGGAGACCACGGCTATAAAATAGGCTCATCGTCCACGCAGTTGACCATTAGGGAAGAATACCCGCACACTGCTCAAATTGTAGAATAGTGGCGAACGCAGCCTCCAAGTTAGGAAACCTAGATCTGCCATGGTAAAAGGCGGGCAATACTACCACAAAGATACAGTAGATTTCTATGCCGACTGATGGTAGTGATAAACTCACAAATGAATCGGGAGATATTCGCCGCAACAGATCAGCAGGGACACTGTGGAGATATGGGCTAGAAGCCATCAGGATGCCGAGTATGACGAGACTATGGAACCCCAGACTCCAGCAATTGCCACGTTGAGACGAGATATGCACGAGATATGCAGCAGAGACGCCATTGCGGAGCGATGGCGGTCCAAGTTAAGCTGCAAATTGCGGGGGAAACATCCACTTTCCAAGTTTGTCCATTTTCGCCGATGGAAGGGGGAAAGTCGCCCGTGTGGATGAAGTTGGTCCTGCGGGGTAATTGCCCCGGACTTTTGGCTTCGGGGGGCGTTTCCCTACGCGGGGAATTTCTCTCGTTTTGCCAGACTTAAACTCCAGCTTCTGCATATATCGGGATCTAAGATTAGGTTGCAGGAGGGATTTACATGAAATTCGGACATGGCCCGTGTGTGAAACCTGTTGACCCCAGGTTCACGGACCATAGGGATGAAGCTTTGGGATTCTAGGAGGCTCTCGACATCTCGACGAAAGTCTACCGAGCCTTGTAAATCAATGTTGTGTAAATATTATGGCAAAGGACAACTCGGCTATTTTACAGAATTGAAGAAATTGAAACCAGAAGAGCAAACGGAGAATAAAAAGTACGGAGAGTAAATTAAGTTATAATCATCAAGTTCTCATTGTAAAAGGGAATCATCAAAAGTCGTCTAAATATGAAGATAAAAAGGCAAAACACCTTCAAGTAGAATCTCTAGGCTTCAGTAGTCCCCATATTCCGGCGCCAAATTTTCACAGGCATATCACCCAGAATCAAGTTCATAGTCTCCTCTCTCTTCAATTCCCAACCAGGGTAAGGCAACGCAAAGTCATAACGATGCACAATCGAAGCAATAGCCTTCGTCTGCTCCAGGTACGAGATATTGCGACCAATGCAGGAACGTGCGCCGGCAGAGAATGCAACCAAGTAGGGCTGCAGCGCCTTGCCCTCTTCACCCAACCACCGCTCGGGAATGTACTGGTCCGCATTGGGGAACACACCCTCATCGCGGTGTGCCACCAGGGCAGACATACTAACAGAGGTATTACCGGCAACCCACTCCCCGAGGATGTTGGTTCCCTCGGGAGGTGTCTCGCGAGGAAGACCATGCGAGGTAGGCGGGAAGATGCGGAGGGATTCGTCGAGACAAGCGCGCAGGTAGGGCAGGTGCTTCACCTTATCATAGTCCGCGACAATCTCGTCTTCATCCAGAATTGCGTCGAGTTCCTCGCGGAGCTTGGCTAGTTTCTCGGGGTTGCGAAGCAGCTGGTACAGCACGTTGGCAATGGCGATGGCGGTAGTCACACTACCGGCATTCATCATGATGTTGCACTCGGCGACGACTTCACCAAATTCGAGGTTGTTGGGGTTTCCATTCTTGTCTTCCATCAGAGCCTGGAAGAAGTCCTCGAGTTTCTCGCCGGCTTCGTAGCGTCGCAGTCTCTCGCTGCCTCGGCGCCACATGATGTTTTCCCAGTTGTCTGCAGATGTCTGCATGCGTCCGAAAAATGGGATGACATTGACTAGCTTGTTGAGGACTGGGTACCATGCGTAGTCCCACACGATGTAGGATTGCTTGCGAGCAGTGGGGTAGAGGGCGTCGCGTAGGCTGGTCTCGTAGGTGGAGCCGTCTTTGCGTTCCGCGATACACATGTCAGAGCCATTGTCTAGGAAGCCCAGCTTCTCTGATAGACCGATGTCGGCGATGGCGTCGAGAGTGAAGAAGTTGGTCCAGGCCCGGAAGTCGAGTGTGAGATCTTCCTTGGCTGGTGCGACTTTGCCAGATGCGACGTCCTCGGAGGCAGGTGCTGTGCAGACTTTGTCGAAGTGCTTGAACATCCGTTCGACCTTGTCTGTGACTTTGTATTCCCATGTCTCAAGGTTCTTCAGGGCATATGCCGAGGAAAGGACCTTGCGCTTGCGAGCGTGGTCCGGCTTGTCGACGACATCTGCCAGGTTGTAATGGGTTCCGGCTGTGACGACATAGGAGGAATCCTTGGTGCATTTGGTGTTGTGGCCATAGATATCCTTGATGGCACGAACATCACCGTAAGATAGTTGGTTGGGCCCTGTTCGGATGACTGGGTTCTTCTTGTGCAAATCGACCAATTCCATTGATCGGAAACCTCGAGAAGCGAGTATCATGAATGGAATTGCTGAAAATCCAGAAAATGGGGAGAGATTAGGGTATTTTCTTAGACCTATGTCGAAGTTAGTGTCTTCTTTGTACCTTGAGAAGGGATATCGAACACATACCCTTGGGGTCTCGAATGTATTCAACATAAGGAAGCACCAGAAAGTATATAAAAAGGAAGAAAACAAGCCCAGCTGCATAGGGCGCAGCGGTAAAAACAAACCACATCTTGGGAGCTATATGTACAGCTGCTCAGAACAAGAAGGTGAATGAGTTTGAGACAGTATAAACAAGTCCTGTTCTGGGCTCGCCCGTCTCAAACAAAGTTTTGAAGTGAAGAGAAATGCTTGGATCTGACCTTTGAGGGCACATGGGAATGGTTTAAATATCATTATCTCATGTAGCAAGTACCCTCCCCTCCATCTTGTAGTTTGGGAGTAAATTTGCCCGAAGGCAAGATATCCCACCGTCCAACTCGTCAGGCGCTTGTTTCTCTCCATTTCGATTTCCCCAAGGTTCGAATGGTTCAGGTAACCATCCAATAATAATCCCCGTAAGATTACCCAGGCTATGTCAGTCGCCAACGTGGGGTCTCAGTAGGGACGGGGAATATTCCCCTTATGAGATAGGGAAACAATCCCCGAGATATGCGGGGTTGGGAACCGTCGAAGTCGATCATGTGTACAGGCTTTGTTTAGACATCACATATTGCGTTTCTTATTTGCTCTCGAAATATAGTGATCGGTTATCGCCCTGGGCTAGCCACTGCTGGAACTTGTACAATGCTTGATATCGGTGCGAGAGTGCATTCTAGCCGGTGTTAGCATCACTATGCGCGAGAAGCGACATTAAGTCATCTTACTTTCTTGCCATGCTCCATTTCAGCTAAAGTCTCTCCCTCGTGTTCGAAAATCGGCTCCCAGCCTGTTTCTCGGTGAGTAATAACTCGGTTGGAATGCCACTACCTCGAAAATACTCACCGAATCTGGGCGGACCGCGAGCAGGTACAATTTTACCCTGTCTGATGTTAAGCGGAATTCACAATCCGATCTTGGGACCTTATTCACCTTCAGTCTCCCCTGAAAAACCAGCGGCTCCATTGTTGGCCCGGAGGAAAAAGCAAACGTGCATACAGCTTGGGCACTTTTGTCCTCGTAGGCAAACAAGAGCTTATTGAGACCGTCATTTCCCAATGACTCGAGAAAATATTTTCTTCGAGACACGGTGTAAGTAGGAGAATGCTATCATCCCTGTTGAGCCATCCGAGATCACTTACACATAAGGACCCGGCAACCCTTTCATCGCGTTGAACTCCAAGGCCGAGTCTTCTACCAACACAGGCCCATTGATCTACCTCGTTAACTTCAATCCAGAGTCACCTCTTAAAGTGAACCAATGCCCTCTTACAATCTCAGCGGCGCGTCGACATTTCTCGGTCGCGATTTCTTCCAACGTTCCTTGAATCTCGGGAATGTCCAAGGCAAAGGGTTGAACTGGGACCGCCTCACCAAGGATAGCGTTGACCTCGATCACCTTGTTGCGATTACCAGTCACGAACATGCATGGCTTCATGTCGGGCTTGACCTTGATGAACCACTCTTTGAGATAGGCGTTGGACTTCCTGTCGCAGCAGGATACACCATACCTCTTTGGGCCTAGTGTCCCTAGAATGTCTCGCGGGGTTCGCGTGGACAAGAGTCTACTATTCAACTATTCATGAGTTCACACAGCTTGAGGACTACGGAAAAATTGGTAAAATTCTTGAAGTGCGCCATTTTCTCACCGTCGGTGTACGAACGATGAAATTGGGAGTAAAAGCATGGGCGACAGACCGGCCCTTGGGCTATCTCCGCAGACCCCGTTGATTCTGATACTAAACATGGACCGAGGATCTCGTGATGCAAAGTTCGGGTCAATATAGTCCGTCAATAGCCGACCTCGGTCAGTGACTAGATCAAAGTTTGGACCGCGAAAAGGACAGGGAGAGGGCAATGACCACATATTAAACGGAATAATTAGAGTCAATCATCATTCTGCATGGAAAACGTAACCAACTCTAACCAACTCCTGAAACTAGTGGCTGAAATGTGGGGTTCCCCGGATTGTTTCCTGAAGAGACTGAATTGCACTATAACCGTCTGTACTTAAGAGATTTGTTCTGTCTCGGTCAGTCGGAGCAAATTTGGTCAACTTTGCAACTTACTTCGAAATCCAAAACTGGGTATCTAACAATTAAATGGCTGCCTTTCTTTCTATCTCAATGTCGCTTTTGGGCCTTGCGGTTTCGGCCTCGGGTTTGAGCTTCAATGTGCCAACATCCCCGCCCTCGAACTCCAGCGGGCAGATCTCTGCTGCACCTGTTGGTGTCTCGTGAGTACTTATTTCCATTTGAAAGGTAAACTTGCTTATCTTGCAGTCTGGAATTTTTCGCATTCCCCAAGTACTTCCAAGAAGTCGATGCGACAACGACATGTCTGCAGAATATGAAAGATCTGACTGGCACATGGCCACCCCTGAGAATTGGAGGAACTACTCAGTATGTATAGCTGCTCCTTCACCATAAAGATTTACTAATATCACACAGAGATCGTGCTACATATGATTCATCCTCGACCGAGGCAGTCACCTACACAGTAGCCAGTTCGGCCGATGCGCCCCAAACATTGACTTACGGTCCATCCTTTATATCCCTGGCTGCTACCTATGCTGGCAAAGTTATCATTGGATTGAACCGCCGGTTGAATAACATCTCCAACACTATCTCGGCTGCGCTCCTTGTTCAGAGCAAGATGGATAATCTCTATTCGATTGAGCTTGGAAATGAGCCAAACTGTGAGTTATAACACGCGCAATACATGCTACTTGCGTCAAAATGAAAGCTATACTAATTAACTATTTGCAGTCTTCACTTCCAGTGACCCCATTGCAAATGGCGCATCCTGGACAGCCGCAGCAGACGAAGCCTCCCAAGTGAGCTGGCAAGATGATGTATGCGGGAATCTCTCTGCGTCCGATATCATATCAGCAGGTGTCTACTTCGGTACTTCTCCTATGAGTCTTGTCGGGCTTACCGCAAAAGAGGGCGATGCAAATGATTATGTCAAGGACTATTGCTCTCACAACTATCCTCAGTCTTCTGGTAGCTATGATCTTGCCAAGCTCATGGGCCACAGCGCTATTGCGTCTCAGATCAAGCCATATGCTGCTGAGGTTTCTGCTGCAGCTGCTAAAGGCAAACCGCATATCTTTGGCGAGACTAACTCTGGTATGTTCTTACCTTGTGAGATTGCTGGATATTATGCTGACAGTTAGTATAGCTACACAAGGCGGAGGTGGTATTAGCCCGACCTTTGGAGCTGCCCTCTGGATCCTGGACTATGTTATGCAAACCGTTCTCATGGGTACAGATGCACTTTACTTCCACCAGGGTACCGTTGGAAACTGTAAGTATCCATACGATTCCTCATAGAGTTATGAATGTTCTAACTCCTTAGGTCAATACTGCTGGTGGGGCCGTTACGATATGGGCTCACCTTACTACGGTGCTTATTTCGCCACCATGGCATTGGCGAACGCCGACCAGATTGCGCCTCTGGATAGCCAAGATACGGCATACGCCGCCTACGCCATCTACAAATCCGGGGCTCCTGTCAGAGCTCTTCTCTACAACTCCGATTACTTTACTAGCGGCACCCGTTCCTCGCAGACATATACGCTGTCCGGTCTTTCTTCCTCCAGCGTCACTGCGAAACGGTTGACCGCCCCTTATGCTACATCTCGGGTTGACCAAGGCTCGAACCCGACCGTTGCTGGTCGGACTTTTGCCAATGGAACTTGTGTTATCCAGGGCACTGAGAAAGTGGAGACTGTTACTGTGTCTGGTGGAAAGGCCACCTTTACTGTTGCAGCCTCAGAAGCCCTGTTGGTATATCTTTGATCATTCGGCTTCATCTTCCTAGAATAAAGTGCTTGTCCGGGAACACCGAGGATTGTGGATGTGTGATTGGGTCTCCGTGTGGAGGGCCGAATCCCTGCAGGCGCCGCCGGAGATTATCTTGTAAGGGCTTAGCAATGCTTTAGTGCTGGAGGTCCTTGCGTTCGGTTTGACAATGAACATTTCAATCAATTCTTCTTTTTGCGTGACAGGTTATTTCTTAAAGAAGGGAACGTAATAAAACTTCCAGTAAAGCATGTCGTCGCGCATGGTAGCCATTAGGTATGATCAAGTCTCACAGAAAACGGGTACTTTGTGTTTGAGACTTGTCTCATTTGACTATCTCAGGTCTTGGTATCTCATTGTCCGTGACTGAAAGTCAAACTAATAGTGGATAACTTCGGTGTAATCTATAGCGAAGCAATTGACGCGCTTTGTCTGGCGTCCACTAGTACACTCCTTCACAAGCCAGCCCGGCTACTGTTGCTGAAATACACCAATGAAAGCCTTTCATAGAGTTAAACGGCAACTGAGCCGTTCCACGGGCTCAGCCTTGAAATTTTTCCTTTGTCGAATTTAGTTTCGCCCCAAGTCATTTGTGAAGCCGAGCTACAGGGCCCCGGATCTCCCCGCATTTTCATCCCTTGTCGTTTGTAGAACTGAAGACCAGTAGTTTTAATAAGCCAACCATTGCTAGTGTGGTAATTTCGGTCAAAGCTGAAAAATATAAAAATAACTATCATTCTCAGGGTTACATATCGGTTTCAAAACGCTCCAACCCTTTGAAGAGATATACTGTGCTCCCATGTCCACGATGGATATCTCAAAGGAAAACGCCGAGAATATCGAAGATGTCTCTCCGAATCAGAGAGATGAGTTCCCAACCAAAAATATGGGGCCCATCATGCGGTCTCGCGAAGACGATCTTGGTGTTTGGCAGTGTGTGCTGCGATTCAAAACTGTGTCGCTGATTGCCATGACTGCCGCATTCAGTGCATCCCTGGACGGTTATCGTAAGCCCCTTGTATCTATGACCTGTTGACTTGACACAAAAGCTAACATCTTCTGCTAAGAAATCAACTTGAATGGCGGTATTGTCTCCAACAAAGGGTTCATCCGACAAATGGCATCTCCAGGAACATCGATCATCGCCGGTAAATACATTTCCGCGTGGGGAGGAATTCAATCAGCTGGTCAAACTGTAGGCCAAATTGTAAGTATTTCTTTCAATATAAATTGTCCGGCGTTTTATCTGACTCCATTCAAGCTCCTCCAATATGCCACCGAGAGGTTCGGTCGCAAAGTCGCGTTCTATATCATTTGGGTCGACATTGTAATTAGTGTCTTTATTGAGTCTTTTGCGACAAGATGGGATCACTGGCTTGCAGCAAAGCTCTTTTCCGGCATGGGTGTCGGCATGCTCCAATCTACCCTGCCTCTGTACTTGTCTGAGATCGCACCGACTCAACTGCGTGGTTTCTACATCAACGCATACAGCTTGTAAGTTGGCTCTCTAGTAAGTGGGATATAACCTGACTTTTTCTAGCTGGTTTGTCGTCGGCCAAATCTTTGCCTCGGTTGCCCTGAAGGAGCTCAGTGCTCATGATCCTTACGACTTCCGCGTTCCTATCTATACTCAGGTATGTGAACTCTAGCATTGGAAGCCCTTTACCTTTTCATTATTAATTTATCCCAATCAGTGGGCTATGGTCGGAGTCATTGCTATCATCTTTGTCTTTATGCCAGAATCGCCCTGGTGGCTCGTGAGCAAAGGCAAGATTGATCAGGCGGCGAAGGTGTTGAACAGGTGCAATGGCAAGGTCGCTGGATACAGTGTCGATGAGCAAATTGTATGTAGGCCCTTTCTCAGCTTTTTACACTTCATAATCAAATTGCTAACCACTCTACTTAGGAAATCATGAACGCTACAGTGGCAGAAGAGCGAATCCTTGCAGAGCGCAACTCAGAAGAAGGGATGTGGGCTGTCTTCCAAGGCCGCAACCGTATTCGTTTCCTCATTGCAGCCTGGCCAAAGATTGCCCAGCAGTTTGTCGGCTTATCTGTGTTTAACACCTACGCTACCTATTTCTGTAAGAAAGCGCCGCTCGAGACTATTACGTTTACAGCCCTAACAATGCTGCAGTCCAATATGCCGGCAGCAAGGATCCATTCATGGTCACCGTCATCCTATCCTGTGTCCAGCTTATATCCATGATAATGACTGCTGTGACCACCGACAACTTCGGTCGTCGTCCTTTGACTATCTATCCATACGCGGTCACATCGGTTTCAGTTTTGTGCCTTGGAATCATTGGCTGCTTTGATTATACCAAACCGTCAACAAGCTCCCTGCTGGTAAGTACTTCAAAACTTAGTCAAGAGATTTGTTGGGAATTTGACTGACAATGTAACCTAGATCTTCTTCGCTTGTCTGGCCACTCTTTCAACAACCGGTGCTTCCGCTATCGGATATGCCTACGCCGCTGAAGTTCCGCAGCAGCGTTTGCGTGCTCAGACAGCTGGATGGGCGCTTGCCTCTTCGAATCTCGTCGCTATCATGTTCAGCTTCTGCACTCCACTGATGATCAACAATGCGCCTGTGTCTAGCTGGGGTGTTAAGACTGGATTTTTGTAGGTTTCAATGGCTAATACATGCTTTCTGGGAGGTTCTTGCTAATTTCGTTTCTCAAAAATAGCTTCGCTGGTACCGGTACACTTGCCGTGATTATCGCTTGGTTCATTCTTCCTGAGGTGACACGCCGCACACCTGCTGAGATTGATGAGATGTAAGTCAAATCTTCCTATATCCTGTTTATTTACCCTCTGATTTCTACCGGAACTAACATTTTTGGACTTCAAGGTTTGAGAAGAAGGTCAACCTTCGCAAATTTAAAGGATATGTCACTGAGGTGGAGATGCGTTCGAATGAACTGCGCGAGGAGCATGAGATGGTTGCCGCTGCCTAATTTTAGCATGAATTAACTGGTCACTTTGGCTCGTAATAACATGAAGCTAAGCATACCAGCTACTAGTTATCAATGGGCGTCGAGACTATGTCAAGGTGCGTTGATTATCGATTAGAATTTAATTTATTTTAAATAATTTATTTTTCTACCCCGGATTTCCTATTTGGGCCGATGTGGCAATTTGGTGATGATTTCCATCATTTGGCAGGGGGAAATTGACGTCTTGTTGGTTTACTCTTTTATCTTACTCATCACCTTTTTGCAAACAACATAGAGCATCCTTGAAGCAGTCTTGATTCCTTTAATTCCGAACAGGCCGAAAGAAATGGTGAAATTAAGACATCTTAACACTTACATGACAATCTAATATAATCCACAATACCATGCTCCTCGCTCTTGCCCCCTGGTAATTGACTGACAACCTCAACAGCCTTCTCGAGCTTGAGTTCTACTGTCTTCTCACCGTCAGCGCCAGACTTCCATGAGATCATAGCAAGATTATCCTTCCCCAGTGCCACCTTCGCTTCCAAAGCGTCGGTCAATAGAACTCGAGGCTTGAAAGATATCTTCGAAGACCCCGAAGCAATGGGCTGCACACCTGCCAACTCAGTGCAATACTCATAAATCGGCACACTCCCCCAGGCATGGCAGTCAGAGCGTTGCCTAACATCATCCTCTTCCCAAGTTGAAAGATTATTTGCCAACATCACACGCCAGGGAACCCACATCCGCTCCCAAAACGAGTCATAAACATCATCGCCAGCCAAAGCAAGCGCCCGGAATGCATAGAAACGCATCACATACGAGCACTTCGAGAAGCGATCGTTTGTGAAGGATTCGGTCAAAATTCGCCCTCGGTCCTCAGGCTTCACCGCTCCACAAATTACTGCAAAAACCTGGCAGTGCTGCGAATATGAATGCTCATCGGCCACATCAACTGTAGAGTCTGTGAAAAATGACCCATCATAGCAATTTTTCCGAATAGCAAGTAAAAGCGATGCAGCACGCTCCTCGTACTCAGCCGCATGTCCCGGTCGCCCAACATCACGTACGAGTCTGGCAACTTTCTGGAGAACCCACGCATACAACATGCTGAAGTATGTGTGTCGGTTTGTCTTTCGACCCGAAGTGGGAACACCCTTGTCGGGATGCTCGTCTGTCGCACCCCAGGTTGTCACCCAGTCGACGTATTGCCACACCACCTCGGGTAGTCCGCTGACGAGGCCCAGCTCGTCGATGTGAGCATCGAAGAAGTCGAGGACTCCATCAATGCGCGGGATAAATCCTCGAGCGTAGCGTGTATCGCCAAAGAAGAGATGGTGATCGCAGACTTGCAAGATCCAGTAGAGAGAGAAGCCTGCAATAACTTGGGGTACGTGTGATGGGAATCGGGACTGTGTGAGTCCTAGTGGTGTCACTGAGGCAGCGAAGTTTGTGATGGCTTGTCGCATTAGACGATCGTCGCCGGATAAGAGGTAGTGGAATAGGCCGACTGAGCGGGTGTCTCCTGAGTATCTATTGAGATATGTTAATTGGAGTTCATCACAGGCTTGGGGCGGAACCTACTGCAGTTGTTCGTAGAATGGACAATCAGAATATCCATCGAACATGCAGTTGCGCATGGTTCGGATCGACACATCCCAGATATTCTCGCTCTGTGTATCACCAGGCTGCTTCCAACTTGCCTTGACTGCCATGGGATAGTTGACCTGAGTCGCATCGAATGACACTAACTTAATCGGCTCAGATCCGACAGTGATCTCAATTCGCATCAGACGGAAAGTGCGGAACCAGAAGGGTTCGTAGATGACGCTCTGGGTATTGGGAAGGTCGAGCATAACCTCGTCATATGGGCCTATGATATGACCAACAGTCGCATCCAGGCGGTCAGCTTTGGATCGAAAGAAGGGGTACGAGCGAGGCTCGAGTTCATATCCTTCTGAGTATGTCACTCGCAGTTGGATTTGAGATGGCCTTTCAATTGCCTTGAAGGCCCACCGCAGAAAAGCGGTTGAGTGAACATCAGCCTGAACCTCGAGCGTATGATTCGAGTTTGCAGAAAGAGTAAGCTGGCTTTGTTTTGAAAGGAATGCGGTCCAGTTTTCTGTGTCGATGTCGCTCTTGCATGATCTTACTGTGTTGACAATAATTGCTGTCGACTCGGGCATCGGTATAGAACGTGGATGCAGATGCCAGGGCGGTATGTCGCCATTCAGTGCCTTCATGTTGTATGCAAGTGGCTTCACTGGAGAGCTAGGCCTTTTTGGCTTGATGCGCTCGCTGATCTGTAGATACCAGGTCAGCATAGGACCAAATCTTCGATCCGGGACTAGCTCTTACATGGAGGAACACATCGTCGGGCAGGCCCATTGGAAATTGGATGCTCTCATCCACATACGCCACCCATTGGTTAGTAGACTTTATATCAATGACTTCTGAGTCTGTTTCGATATTTCCGATGATTGTCAAGCCCGGAAGAGCAGTCCGCTCAAAAGGCATCGCACTCCTCGACGCCGCGAAATACCGGACCACTACGAACCGGATTTCATTTTGACCTTCTGTCAGGTAGGCCGCAATATCCAATGAATCATAGTACCAGATCGACGGACTGCTTCTAGTCGGTCCAACCGCAACATGTTGGCCATTGACATAGAGCTTGTATCGCGTGTCGGCTGAAAAATGAAGCAATGAGCGCGTCGGTCGCGAAAGCAAATTGACCGAGCGAGTGAAATGAACAATCTTGCCAGCAGTGTTCTGGTCTGAAGAATCAAGCCAGTTTGGAACCCAGATCCAATTCGCCTGGAGCTCATTGATGGTCTATTTCGAGCATGACATGTCAACACTTGATTTTGGATATAATCGTAGCACGTACTTTTTGTTCCTCTGCCGACACCATTTGCACGTTGGAAAGCTATGCTTCAATTATCTGCAGATCTTGGGTGTTCAGGTAAACTTGTAAATACTCCGGGCGGGGGGAAGGCGGAAGGCGGGGTCTCGGATGATCTTTCGCCGAGAAGGAAGAGCTGTCGGCGATTGAAATAAAGTTGCAAACAAGCGTTCAGGTGGTTCGGTAACCGTTATGGCTTGATTCACTAAGCGTGACATGTTGTAAGCAATGCTTACGAATACCTACCCCGGTTTTCCAAGGTTTGTTCTTCCCCATCCTCTCCCAGGAATACCTCACTCCTAGCTATACATTCTAGGTATCGCCAATGTTTTCTTAATATTCATCCCAAGACCTGCTTGTTAACTGTTAGTTCTTTGACGGTACGCGAGGGGAAACCTAACGGACTATACGAATAGATCTTCCCAACAGTGAACGATACAGAGCCGGTCACCTAAACTACCCACGCACGGAATAGCAAGCCGTAGCTGGCATTCTCACTAACAACAGGACGAGATTTAAGGTCATGTATGAGCTGCCGTTAACCCGGGCGGTTGTTAATATAATTGGCCCTAGGATAGGTGATACGTTGAATATGGAGTCCACAATAGGCCGATATTTGCCATGTTAAGAGTGAAGCGGAGCACTTGCTGGCCTATCAGAAACCTCCCCTAGGCTCAGCCTCGCGATCTACATATATACCGGATAACGTCTGGCAACGCTTGGCGATTCCTTTCCGTTCTAGTGCTCTCCATCTCGCTGCTTTTGCGCACTGAGTAAAATTAAGCACACCCCTGATCAACCTGAGCTGGTCAGTGACCATTCCATAATCAAACTGACCCACTCACTGAGCCTAACTGACTAACTTAGTAAGTTCCAAGTTAGTTAACTATCTTACAGAGCTAACCCTACCTCTGATCCAGAGATCTTCGATGATTATTTCTTGTTCATTTAAGTCACCGCCAAATGTAGAAATTATAGCCCGTGGGTTACATTCGGTTAGCTGGTTTCCTGGTGACTAGATAAATTTGGGGTGTTACTGGTCTACATCCTATGATTGTAGTACAATAACCCTCATTGAATACTCTTTAGGGGCTCTACGCACAAACTATACCTCCCTATAGCAGAACCCACAGCATATAGTAGTCAGAATACATACCTCGTTCTATGTGTCGGTATCTACCGCCTAGCCATAAAGAAAACCCCTCTATAATTCCTTCGCCCTCAATCCGAGCTCCTTCGGTTCCGTACAAAAGGAAGCTTAATCGATGCGTTAAAAGCGTTCCTAGAATTCCAAGCCCTCAGTATAGTTCCACTACGAAGCTATTCAATAGCACATACCGTGCTCTGCTCGATATTATTCCACTGCATCTGGGAAGAAAAAATGATAAGTTCGAATACCGCAGTCTACAATAGCGCGTAATTAATGTATTTCCATCTTCTAATTCTAGAATTAGTGACGATAGCCCTTCCTCATCTAATAGTGACGGTCAATGGCTATCGTCTCGGCATATCCGGGCTTTAGTTACTCTCCGGGTGCGTTAGATCGAGAAGGAGAGATAGGAACGACCGAAAATGAGAATTTAGAAGGATTGGGCGCTAATACTACGCCGCTACTTAGCATTAGGCAGGTCTATGCTCTGTGTATTGAAGTAATATTCAGGCTAACTCTTCTTTTCAGGCCGGAAGCTTGTTTGGACATGTTTAACCCCAAAGATCTCTTGCGCATCTCATATCTTGACTCGATCATGAACGGTAAGTTTAATTATCCGATTTGACTTGGTTCGGTATCTAACAGGCACCTGTAGTTTCTCTATTCGATTTTATGCAGAAGAACGGCTTTATATGATAGATGCCTCGTACCGACATCAAAAGAAATAAAACCCCCGACGAGCGGTCGGAGGATACATCGCTAACCACCAAGTCAAACTCGTCCACGGTTCTAGCCACTGGGGTATTTCGGTATTCTGACTCTCTCTAAGAAATGTACTAGTAACAATGAGGGAATCCTTATACATAAACCCTTGGCATGTCATTCGTACCCATTTTCTTTCCGCTAGTTGGTTATATCAAAGCTTATCAAAAGTCCAGGTGTACTTCTGACATGAAGTCTCAAATATTCTATACCCTTCCGGCAATGAGCACCTCGAAAGATGACATCAGGATACCGGGAAACTGAGAGTTTAGGTCCTTTCAGGCAGGCTTTTACGAACACCTTTATAGAACTCTTCCCAGTGCTCTTTCTAGTGCAACGGACCTCTCTGCATAAGTGAAGAATATCGATTTTAGAAATAATAATCGGTTCATCGAGGACGCGAGCTTGTACAGTAGGAATAGTTATTGGGGCATAGATTCAGCTCGTGGTTACGAGTAATTTACTGTGCACCACATCGCGCATAGGGCGTTGGTCAAAAAGTGCCCTTTCGCAGGGATTTTGAATTTCCTAATTTAATGAAGCAACTCCTCCTCCTGACAAGCGCCCGAATGCAGCACACGGTGCGGCGGTATACCCCCGGCGCCTAGGGGAATCTGCATAGCAATTGTCTGCTCCCCAGATGGGTACTTGGTGATGTGGCCCAGGCTACTCAGATCTGCGGTGTCCAGCGCCAGGATGGCGCCGTGCCTGCCGCCGGAGATCCAGGCATCATTTGTAGAGTCGGGCAGAGTGATGTGCGCCAAGCCGGAGAGGAAGATAACCCATCTGATAGTAAGTTTCTAGTTAGTGGTGCGTAAAGTAGGCACGATGTGCAGAGCTTTGAAGTAGTTTTGCCCAGTTAGGTGTATTAAAATGAATAGGAAGAATTATGTTCTTTGCTATGCTTGAAATAGAATGGCATTCACGTACTGCTGCGCGGGCGCGTTGTGCTGGCCGCCATCGAATCCGGCCGGAAGGACAGCGTACGACGCATTCCCCGTACAACCGCCGCCAATGGGGCCGAGATTTAGAACCTGGGAGCCAGACGTGCCGGTCTGCGAGGAGATCTTGAACCCTGGCTCGAGTGCCCAGCATTCGAGTGTGGAGCGGCGGTTTTTGGCACCGAGGGTTGTGATGTTCAGCGTACTGGCGGCGGCCGGGCCAAAGAGGAACAGGGGGAGGAGGGAACAGAGGCGCATTGCGATGAAATTTGGAATTTGGCAATAACAGGTAATAATATATTAAGATTAGGAGCGCAATAAAATTGAAGCAGAAAAATCCACCCTAGCGCAAAGAGAAGGAAGGAAAAAAGAGAAAGAATTGCCTGTTTATCTATCCCGTCCGAGTATCCATCTCGCCCGGGTATCTATCTATCCAGCCCGAGTACCCGTTGCGGGAGCGACCTTGTGGTCCATCCAGTCTCCATTATGATATGCGTATTGTATAAATTGGTATTCTTCCTCTTAAGATGCCAAAAAGAGTTGCATCCTAGACAGTTCACAAAATCAACATCACAACTTGCCGGCCCTATCTAGAATGAAGCCGCTACATCTTACCGCGTTCACGGTGGCTGCAACATCCGCGACGCCCTATATTCCCCCTTGGCTCACTTTACCGCCCGCGCCTGAACTTCCTCCTCCAAGTTATGAGGCCCACGCACAGGTGAATAATATCTCTCTATGGCACGCCCTCTACGGACCTTCTGTTGGAATGGCCGGGCCCCCTGTGGTATTGCTCCATGGTGGTAAAATTTCCTCCCGCTGGTGGGGTGACCTTGTCGAATATCTCGCGCCAACTTTCAGTGTTATCGTAATCGACACAAGGGCCCATGGACGCTCAACCAACGATCTCTCTGTGCCCCTTTCCTATGACTTGTTTGCGCGGGACACTATCTCTCTACTTGATACACTGGGGATTACGAGTGCAAGCTTCGTCGGGTGGAGCGATGGGGCCAATACCGCGCTTGATATTGCCATGAACTATTCGTCGCGGGCCGATAGCATTATTGCATTTGGCGCCAATTTCAGTCCCGATCAGGCTAACATCACTGGCATTGAAGGCATACCTTTCTTAAATGATCTGCTAAACAGGGAGGAGTCTGAGTATAATGAGCTGAATCCCAATCCGAATTGGATTCTTTTCAACGATCGTGTGAATCAGATGCAATCTGTCTCGCCAGCGTGGGATCAGAGAGCTTTTAATACGATTTCACCTTTTGGGGTGGTTGATCCTTCACCGAGGATTTTATGTGCTGATGCGGATCATGAGGAGGTTGTCATAAGATCCACAGTATTTCAAATCAACGAAATGGTCTGTATCTTTTCTAAAACCCAATCATTATCGAAAATTGAGATATTAATACTCACCTGCCAACAGATTCAGAATTCGCAGCTGACCGTCCTTCCTGGCGTGAGCCATTTTGCGTAAGTATCCCGATTGCTACAAAATCCGCTTATCTATACTGGTTTTCTTGCTGCAAAAGGACCCTCGTCACAGCCCAGTAATCTATTATATTTCATATCTTATGCTGACAGAAGTTGCTAATAGTCCGCTGCAAGATCCAACGACTTTCGGGGCAATGGTGAAGACTTTTCTGGACAAGGCAAGATACAGATAACCTATGTCTCTTTACGTTGCCCACTTCGCGTTAAATGATCGAGGGTATGCTAGGGGATGAAGCACATGAATTGGGTGCAGACTGAAGACTATATAGAAGGACTCGGCCAAGGCCTCGCTTGCTCGTGTTCATCCCTGTTTCTATCTCTGCTTGTACGTATGGGCTATGATCCAAACACGTTATATCTTTCATCTTGTTTCCTCCTTTTTATGCCTTTGTTCCTTTTCCCACATCGTATGCATGACTATGCGGTAGGAGGGTTATGATAGTGATATGAAAAAGGGTGGATCAAAATTTACGCTAAAGGGAGGGGGAAGCCATTGTAAATATTCCAATATACCTACCGATGACGGTCGTATCTTCCTTGGCTTCCAAATCTGATCGAAATACAAGAGTAGGAGGGTAAGACATAATGGCATATCATCAGACGCGGACGCGGTAGACCTTTGAATCTTCCTTATGCCTATTTCCTCCTTTCAACAATTTCATATGCGGGAGCAATCGGAGTTCTACTACACTTGTGGGCCCGCTCCATAATTTGAGGCGACAATAGGCTATTCGGGAATTACTTTGATACACTTTACACTAACGTATTCATCAATAGTCGTCTTACTCACAATGATAATAATCTATCTATAATTAGATTTACTAGTGGATTCTACTGTGTAAACCGCCGCCATAGCCTTTCGAGCGAGCCGGTATTGTCCTCAGGAGCACAGGCTACCAGTGGTACGTTTGTTAATATCCGGGATTATTTTCAAGAATATCGCACAATAGTCTCTTTGAACTACCCACTAGAGCGAAATCAAAATTCAGACTGTAAGCCAGGGATTGAGCATTTAGAAGCATCCAAATACACAACTGTAATCTACAGCTCCACATGGGTTTTGTATTACAATTAGTCGTTCCGATGGAGGATATAAAGTACTGTTTCTTTCAGGAGATATCACACCCCATTTTTCAACGACACTTTCGTTTTGCTGGCTTGAACAACAGATACCCACATCACAAATATATCTCCTCGTTGACGATGGATGAAAAATCCAGCCTACCCACTCAAACCTCTCTTACCAACTCAATTCTCACTCGTCATTCAACTCGGAATTTTCTCCCCAGGGCGGTCCCAATCGAACATCTCAAGGAATCTCTGTTAATAGCACAACACGCGCCTTCGAATTCAAACATCCAACCATGGAGAGCGATATTTCTGTCCGGAAGCAAGCTCGACACTCTGAAGGCGGCATTACTAGAAGCCGCCCAAAATGGCAAGCCCCAGATTCCACCAATCCCAGAGGCATTCCGCCACTATAGGTCAGAGCTCGGACGCGAGTTATTTGGAAAATCCATGGGGATCGCCCGGGATGATATGCCTGGACGACGGGCAGCGGAATTACGCAATTACTATTTCTTCGGCGCCCCGCTGGTGGGGATTATATATATGGATCGATCTTTGAGCCACGCAGATTCACTAAGCGTGGGCATGTGGCTTCAGACGTTGATTTTGGAGTTGACCGAGAAGGGCCTGGACACCTGCATTGAAGGCAGCGTTGCGGGGTACCCGGCGGTGATTAGAGAAGAATTAGCGATCACCGATGGCATGGATATACTTTGTGGGTTGGCAGTGGGATACGGAGATCCAGAGTCCCAGGCGAATCAAATGGTCTCGCAGAGAGATAGCTGGGATACATCGATCGAGATTAGACCCTAGAGACCATTTACTCTATTTGTTCCATCGCCATGCTTTACCTATGTAAACAGGGAATGCTAATTGAATAATTTTGGTTGCTTTGGAATTTTGAAAGAAACTCATGTTGGTCAGAATACGCTAAATCTCTGTCTTCCATGCTCCTAGTGCGTACGGGTATCCTCTGATCCGATAGAAATCAATTCCGCGCCGCCCGGAATACCCTGTAGGGGTTACGCCGGAAATTTCAATTTCACTTCCATGGTAGAGTACAGTTCTAAAAAGCTTTTTGTTGGAGGATCAGATGAAAGATGGAGATCATCAGAAAAAACAGCCTCGTTGAGAGGAGAGGAGAGGAGCGGAAGCTCCGAGTCTATCTGCCTATTCAAGGTGTGACCGGCAGAACCTGCAGACTTTTGGTGATTGACCTTGTCCTCTCGACGTTGGACGGTATAACTAGCTATTCCCTGAGGCTCGAACCTGAGCTGAGCCGGGCAGGTATCCCCTGACTGCTCTGGTGAGAGAAAGGCTGAAACTATTAAGAAATCAATGACTGTGATGGAATTATGGATGATGGGGTAAGAAAAGGAAACTGAGACCGCAGTAGTCAAGAGATATGCTACTAGGGCGGAGTATGGGTGAGCCTGCCATTTGCCTCGTATTAAACTTTTGTGTTGTTCGTTTCACACTTGTGAGATGGCAGATGCTTTAGACCTTTCATCCATTCCATTGCTTACCTGTATGATCCACTCGAGGTCATCGGACTATCGTAAATCCTCCTCTCCGGGTCCACCTATCCCGCCGTATTCCGACCACAGCTCCAGTAGCCGCCAATTTTCCTTCAACGTTGGCAGTCTCGTTGCCAGGAACGCCCACGTGTGCAAGGATCTAGCGGATCCCGACGGAAACCGTGTCGAACGTCGGCGTTTGCTGCATTAGCAGATATTGAACAGGTGAGGATGGCTGGTATTTCGACCGCTCGTTTGACTGCCGCGTTAGGTATGCAATCTGGTCCTGGGGCGTTAAATGGTATGGCTATTTTGACGACTGTTATACTCCTGCTGTGAGATCGTGGTGGATGAAGGCACTGCAATGAGATATCGGTAGCGATTGGGATCTGAGAGATCAGCTTTCGGGATCGGTGGAAAAAGAGCTTGCTTCATGGCCGCAGCCTTCTCTTTAGTTGTCACGCACTTCCTCAGTAGATCTCAGCATACCTGCCGTCTTGCGCTCTCACAATCCCTCCTACAGTAGATACCCAGCCGACCAAGCGATCTAGACAATTCCATCCTGATTTTAAATTTGGCTTGCCGTGGAACGCACGCCAGGTTCCGTTAGCGGGTTGCCCTGTGGCAACTGCAATTCAAAACATGACGTGGAGATTCAAATATACCCGTTTCAGTCAGGTATCCAACTAAACCCGGGCATGGTTTAAAGTCCGCCGGGAACGTCTTTCAACCAGAATCCTTTGCTTTCGCGACAAGTACACTTCGGAAACCTGAAAATGTCCTCCACAATGCCCAAGGTTGTTAAAGTCGGTGATACCTATCACATTGAAGGGTAAGCAACTCAGCATCTGATGACTACAGTATGCCCACTCTATATGCAGACGTCCGCGAGAGGACTTCAAGATTGTGAATGTCTACCATCCATCCAATATTCCAGGGAAAGCCGTCATCATCATTTCGATCGATATGGTTCCCAACGCAGCTACACCCCCGCATACGCACTCGGGTGCAGCAGCCATTGCGATGGTGATTGATGGTGTTGTTTTGAATCAAATGAATTGCGATGATCCCATTGTCTCTCAGAGAGGAGATATGTGGTATGAAGCTCCCGGCTGTCATCACGTTCGATCGGAGAACAATGGATCGGAACAAGCTAAGTTTCTGGCGGTTCTCATTGTTGACGATGAAGTTATCAAGGATGGGTTTCACAATATCATTGTTTTAGACGCTGAGGAGGAAGGTACGGCCACATAAAAATATTTTGCAGCTTTGGATTAAAATAATCGTGACTATACTATTTTATGCAACTGGCGCGGAATCTCACCAATTTGTGCTTCTTAACGTGGCTTATTGTTCTCTGGCTATACATCAACAGTGATGTTACCTGGCATATGATGACTGAAGTGAGTGTCTCCAAGCCGCTCATACTGCAGTACATTGAGATCTGCGAACGGAGTTCCTAGAAGTCCGCTACATTGCCAGCTTCCATTGTCGATCCTCCTCGTTACATCGTACTGTGACCTGAAGACTCTACCTGATACCTTTACGGATCAATAACTCAAGGCTAGAAGAGAAGAATGTACAATGTATTAGCGATAAGCGACCATGTCGTTCGTCTAGGACAGCATACAAGAGAGATCCAGCTAAGAAGAAAACATGCCGAGGGTCTCTTAATGTCATATTGAGCCCATTCGTCTCTTCACCAACAGGTTCACTCCCTCGGGAGGAATATTCGCTTCGCCTAACCATTTATTTGCAGGGCGCTTGCCATTGTACTCTTCCGGAAATTTGATATCATAATTCCTGAGAACATAGGCAATGATCATTTTCAGCTCGAAGTCGAGCAGAAATCGTCCTGGGCAAGCGTGCTTGCCATGCCCGAATGGTAAATAATTCGAGCCAGTTGAAACGAAACTCAGCGTGTTGGCCTTAGCCGAATTAGTCGCCGCGTCCCGCATGCGCGAGAATCTGAACGGATCGTACTTATGTGGTTCTTCGTATGTCTCCACGTCCATCTGAGCAGGCTGGGCGAGGAAAGAAATCATGGATCCTTTGGGCAGCTCGATGCCGGTATCAGTGACGAGCCCATGGACCATGACCTTTCGCAAGATGGATCGGGTACCGAAAGAGTGACATCGCATTGTCTCACGCGCGACACTATCTGCTTTATTCATCTTGCAGATTTTGGCTTTTGTCCACTCCTTGTCTTTGCCCATAATACGCGTGGCCTCATCACGTAGGACCTCGATTGTATTGTACTCGGCGTCAGATCCCAGGATATTCAGCAGCATATTAGTTACTTGTATGCTCGTCTGATGCATAGAGCCAAAGTTTGCAGCGGTGAGGCGACGGCTTATGACGTCTAGGTTGTACAGCTCTTCAGGCCGCTCCCTCTGTGCATAGCGGAGCATCAACTGTAGGTGATCCTGAGGCTCGACGTGATGTAGATCATGTTGTGTATTTTTGAAAGCTTCGAGACGCGTACGATATGTCGGCTCGAGATGCCGTCTGACCTTCCTCTGGGCAAGCTGGGTCTTCATTCCGGCAAGCCGGCCAACGAAAGGACGCAGCATAGGAGGCATGCCACCGGTAATAGCAGCATTGATGACACAGCCATCTATAGCGGTCAGAGAGTCTTTGAGATACTGTCCATTTCGGCCTATGAGCACGAGTCAGTGGCAACCAGATAACCGCAAAAGGATGATCCTAGGACCGAACGTACACAATGGTAAGCCGACGGTAAACCGACTGGCCGCCTGGGCAACAACCATCTTCACAGTGCTCAACAGGTTAATTCGCTTCCAGGAGTTCTCGTCGGTCCCAAAATATGCATCAAATGCAACTTGCAGCTCCTCATTCAAGCCTGCAACAATATTTTCCAACACGGCATTCATTTCTCGTTTTACGAGCATGGACTGCCATGGGTCACCGACATATTTTGTGTGGCCGAGACTATATTTGGTCTGATTGACTTCAAGGAAAGCTTCATTGTTACTGAGCACGCTTTCGGGTTGCGATGATGCCCAGTGTATTGAAGTAACGGGCAGGATGATCTCATCACGGAAACCGATGCCCGGGATTATGACCGCCTTGCCTTTCTTGCAGTACTGTGTAGGGCATGTTAGCTTGTCACATATATTGAGTTTTCAACACACATACGCCATGATACGCTTCGTGGTATATAGCTTCGCAGCCGGTGAAATAAGAGAGTCGATTTTTCAAACTGAAAGTCGTCTTTCCAGGCCTCTCCCTTAGCAGGGGCACGCCCTTTGCGCGGGGAACTCTAAAGAACGAAGAATGAAAAACATAAAGCACCGAGAGAGCGGAAAAACAGATTACCACCATGCCAATTGGGGTTCCAAACTCGGGGAGAACGATGCCTGGCGCCATTTTCTAAAGTTTCTGCGGCTCTGGCGACACAGATTTTGAATGACTGGGCGTCGGAAGTGCCTTATAATGGAGTTTACGAGACGCCTAATCTGTTATGGGACATAGTATTTTGACCACGCGTTTTCCTTAAATAATATATCGGCAGTGACATCCCCTATTAACTCCGGGTTATTTGCGACACCACGATAGCCGTGACGCACAGGGAATATCCGGGAGGCTAATACGAAAGTGGAAAGTCCTCTTCATACATAGGCTATTCGGGCACCACAGAATTCGGCGTAACATAGAGGAGATATTCCTTGCCTGTTTTGGGAATGTACCATCCCATTCCAAATGTTCCTTGCCACTCCACTTTCTCGGATCCCCATGCAAAATATATATATCACTTTCAATATAGCACTACCATTATATGGTCTATAATATTGCAATTAATTTTGTTGAGATTCATGGCTTCTCCGCCAAGCATGAATCTAGTGATCAGCATTGAACATACCATATAGAGTATAGTTTAGGAGAAATGCTCCTCATTAAATAGGATCTCTCTCATAGAGGAGAGATCAGACCTAAACAACCTCGTTGGCCTTGACTCTAGCTTCCTAACTTCATTCATCGTATACAGTTTCAACAAATTTGAAGCTTGCTTAATAATAGCACAACGAAAATTTCGCTTAATATTTTGTATAATACCCCTTAGCCTTTCTCACTACTTCTAAACGTCTACCCTTGCTCGGCTTTTTCTATTAGACCACAGCAGGATGCAAGGAGGTTGGGCAATATGGTCAAGGCTCTTCTGGACAAACGCAAATAAAGTCAAAATATTTTCGTATTCGCGGCTCGATACAGTGTACGACTGCAAGAGATGGCGTTATGAGGCTAGAGATAATTATGTAAAAGCATAGAATATGTGCATCATTCTAGCTAAAGTCACAGAGTGTCTATGTGACCCCCACACTCATTGAGCCTGGTTTCAGAAGTGTGGCAGGAATGTTCAGGACGGGCCCAAAGTGATACAAGGGCCACTGAAAAAGCGTCGATGAATAAGTTATTCAACATTCATTTACAACTTAAGGAGCAAAATAAGACAGGATCAGTAAGTCACTATCGGATAATTCAACAGGAACGTTTCATCAATAAGGCGCCATCCTACTTTTGAATATTCAACAACAGGTCGAAAACAACCTTCCCTCGGGCATGGCCACTATCCAAACGTTCGTATGCATTTTGAAACTGCTCCAAGGGCCAGACACTGTCAACAATAGGCCGGCATTTGCCCTTGTCGATCAGCTTCGTGATTTCTGCCAAATCTGCACCAGATGGCTCCATGATGAAGAAAAGATCTTTCACATTGGAACCTGAAAACCCTGCGGGTCGTTTGCCTTCCGGCGGCTGATTGATACTGATGATCACGCCGTTGTCACGGAGGCACCACCAGGCATCTTCAAGTGATTTCCCGCCAACACAGTCAATAATCACGTCGACTTTGTTCACTGGGTTCTGACCCCACTCGGAAATCTTGAGCGAGCGATAGTTCAGCGCTTGCTTGGCTCCTAGGGCCTGGACGTGGTCTAGGTTATCTGGTCCACAAGTACCGACCACTTCTGCTCCCGTTTGGCTTGCAATCTGAACAACCCAGGTCCCGACCCCTCCCGAAGCCCCAGTCACCAAGATGCGTTTACCCTTCCAGTTCGGGCTATCGAAATTGCCAACTCCGGCATGCTTGAACAGAGCCTGCCATGCAGTCTCCGCAGCGAGTGGCACGGCCGAAGATTCCGCCCAGCTCAGCTTACGGGGACGACCAGCTAATTCATCGGTGGTGGCAATTGCGTAGTCACGAGCACATCCAGGGCGGTAATAGCTCGTGCGAGCGTACACTTCATCTCCTTCCTTGAATGGAGAGCCTTCTGGGGCGCTCACAACGACTCCTGCAACATCGTCGCAGGTGATGATTTCCTTCCCAGGAATGTCACCGAAACTGGGCCATAGGAGTTCTCCTGCACATGGAGCGGCAGCATAAACACGGATCAGATGTTCCCCCTTAGCAGAATTCGGTTTTGGCAGAGGGCGTTCGACGAGTGTAATGGTTTTTGAGGTGGGGTCTGCTTGCAGCAGAGCGCGTACGGTAGATGGGAGAGTGTTTATCGACATCGTTGGCCGAAGAGGAATCCTTTTTTCTTTGCTGCTTAAGACAATGACAATGGTTGGATATTCCAGGTTTGAGGGAAAGCGGACGACTTATATGCCTTTCCCAGTAACCAGTCCTTTCAGCGAGAGTCTAATAAATTACAATTTATGGAAGGGGCGATTAATCAAAAGGCATCGTGGCACCATAATTCATATCCAATGTTGTCTTTGTTACCCTTGAGCCAGTAGGAAATCCACGGTCGGGTAGCTGACATGTATAGTTAAATGGATCTTGACTCCACCACAATACAAATACAGCCGGTCATCGGATAGGCTATTATGAATGTGTATCACATTTGTATAAGCTTTGGAAAAGACAAACAAAGTTCTTTCACCTCTTAACACTGGCAGAGTATGCGCCGTTTTTCGCCCTCGCGAAAATCAATGATGCTGAGACCCTGTTCTGCCCTGTTGGGCCGCTTTCATCCCGGGTAGCCTATTAGTTGTCGGGTACTAGGGCTGAAAGTCTGATCATTTCCTCCGCCCAAACCGCCTATCTGCTCAGTGCTTTTGAGCCGTCCAGGCCCTCCTTGGTTTCTCTAGCAGGATGGGCGTTCCTTGGGCTGAGCGCTTGACTTGGGGATTGCGCTTGTGGCATAGACGTATTAATTACTATTGTACCGATCGACGATTCCGTTTTACAATACAGTAGGCTATCCATATCACCGTTTGGCAAGAATAACCAACTGTCAGAGCAACCTGATACAGTATGGACTAATCAAGCGGAACCAACATCAGATGAATAAGATGGTTAACTAAATCAAAGTAGAGGACACTCTGGGAAAGGTTGAAATCCCCCCTGAATGTCTCTGTCTCTGGTTACTGATGACCGAGTTACCGGAAAGTTCGAGTAATTGTAGATCAATCTGTAATCGTATTTGTTTTCGAGTACTCTTTCTTGGATTATCTGCTTCCATCCTACTCATTCGCCGTAAACTTCAGGATTCTCAAGAGACCAGATGATAGGACGTTCATTGTGGACCAAAGCTAACAGCAGAGGTACTCTTACAAACCATCTGTTAGGCTATCAGTTGTTTACTTGGTATCGCCAAGGTTATGAATACTTGGGCCGGCGAATGAGAGAAACCACTTAATGTGAAGAATGCAGGAATCGGGTAGAATCAATATGTTTTCTCGCTCAGTTTGGCGATTTGATTCGCTTTGCGCATCGCTGATATGAAAGTAGAACTTATGGCTGTTTTGTCTTTCGCCGACTTCCGGCAGAGGTCGTATACCGGAGTGGGGCGATTATGAGAGATGGCGACAAGTGGTTAGAATTATTGTGAGCGTGTCAGGATAGAATGTCGTTAATAGCCTATTCAACTCACGGGGATGTAGAAACACCCCAGGTGAGCGAGATATCGTAGTTGTCACTTTAACTGTCCCCCTCACAGCCCCTCCTTGACTATATAAGCTCCAAAGGATGACGAGAGACATGAAGCTGATTCTATTCCCCATACCGTCACCACGAATTTAGGAATTACTGGACTCCTCACAAAATGCCTCTTCTTGAGCCGCAGAACGATTGCCTGTTAGGATGCTTCTATCGTTCCTTTACTTTCCTTGCACGTATATCTACTTTGCATAGGTGCATAGCCAGTGCTAACAAAAATCCCATTTTTCTAAAGCTCCCCTCTCACAAGCGGGGAGCCGGTCTTCCACTACTAGCTTGTCAACTGCCCTGGTAGATCGGACGTCGGTACGAGCGTGAGATTTTCTCCAGGTGCTACTCCATCCTCGCGGAGGAGCCTCCACAAATTAGGATTTTTAGAGTTATCGTCGGACTCGGTCAATTGGCGGGCCGAACAGGCGCCTCAAGTGGCGAGAGTGGGTAATTATTCCCCTATTTTCTATCTATCGACGAATTGGGGGTTTTGGAGTTCTGTCGGAGTCGGTCAAACGGCGGACCGACCGGCCGTCATTACGGGCGAAAGTGGGGAATTGTTTCATATGGTTTTATATACGAGGGTTGGTTTATTTGATGCTCTGGCCCCGAAAAGCAAAGGAACGCGACGCCGGCATGTACTAGTCTATACCAGATACCATGACTGAAACATCCGACACTTCTGGCTCAGCAAAATCATCTGCTCGCATCTCGCTTGCATGTGTGCCATGTCGCGATCGACATATGCGCTGTGATGCGGTGATGCCTGCATGTTCTCGCTGTGTCACGGAAAAGAAGCAATGTGTCTATCTCAAGTCGCGCCGTGGAGGTCGCCGCCGTCTGCAGCAGCCAACTGAGCTGCCATCGCAAGCTTCGCGCGAACCGTGGAATTGGACCAGAACGGAGGGCAGTATGGGCAATGTAGATGAGCTCGTTGCGACACCAATCAGTAGTGACGACAGCAGCGACCCAGACCAGCTTTTGCAGTGCTACTATTCCTACTTTCACGCTGCGCATCCATGTGTGCTCCCATATCGCTTCCTCAAGCGGCGCCTGACCACGGAGCCAGAGACGCTGCAACTTCTTTTCCTGGTGATGCAGTACATTGGGGCAAATTTCACAGTCGCAATCCAGTCCATCTCGCCGGCCACGAGAATACAAGAGTTCCTAGCTTCCTTTCACGCGCGACAACCGCGGTTCACCGGTTTCGACGTGCAGGCGGTTCTACTCTTCTCGATCGCCGTGTACTGGTGCGATGAAATTGACCACGGCCTAAGGTTTCTTGACGAGGCGATCCAGATGGCGTTAAAACTAGGCATGAATCAAAAGAGGTTCTCCGCGCAATATGGGCAGGGTGACCCGGTGCTTGAGGAAAGCTGGCGGCGGACATGGTGGATGATTTACATCGCAGATGCGCATATGGCTGGCAGCACTCACACCTACCCGTTACGCACCACCAACATCCCCATGACGGTGGACATGCCCTGCGAGGAGCATGACTATGAGTCTGGAGTAAGTGCTCTCCGGAGACGTCCTGGGCTTACAATTGACTGACCAAATGAACCTGCCGTTAGCAAATCCCCCAACCGAAATCTCTCCAGGAATACGATATGCGAGAATTCTTACCTGAGGACAAACAAGGATTCTCTTCATTTGCAGAGCTGATTGGGCTGACACGAGGCATTGGCCTCGCACTGGCTCCCGGTCGTAGCCCAGAAGACCCTATACAGCACAGTTCAATGTGTGCTAATGCTGACACCAGCATTGCAGCATGGTATTCATTGCTTCCACCATCGAAGAGAAACGCAGTCCGGCGTGATGGATCTCTTGACGAACTGCTGTGTAAGGCTAATTTCATTCTTCACGCGTATGCTGGTTCTACTTATCCAATTTGTTAAGAAATCCTAACATCTTCAGGTATACGGTTGAGATGCATCGCCAATTATCCTCTCTGGCGTATAGCCCGGTTGAAGCCTTGTGCAAATGTTCTCCCCCACCTCCTCCTGAGGCCCAACGTGGATGCAACAACCTCGAAACTCAGACGCATACCTTCAAGTGTCTCAAGGCCATTGAGAAGCTAAATAATTTGATGACTGTCCCCATCAACATCGCGACACATACCCCATTCATCATATGCATGATCGCCAATGCCACCATTGCTCATCTTTCAGCCTGTCGGTACATCTACCAAGGGGTGCAGCTGGAGCTCAGCCGGGAGAAGATCCGCCTAAGCATGGGGACTCTGAAGATCATGAGCGAGTACTGGCTACAGGGGAAAAGGATTTACCAGGAGGTAGGTATCATTGCTCGGGAGATTCTTTGCCTAAGGGATCAGCACTTCAGCGCCGTGGTCCCTACAGAAGGGTCTGAGAGAGAAGCCTTGGAGCCGCTGCCACCAGATTTTGGGCTTGGTGGCGTTACCGATTTCTACGATCTGTTCGATTTTAACTTTCGCAACTCCATATCTGTTAATGGAGTTGATCACTCGGGAGGGTGACTGGGCCCGTTCCACTTACACCACTGGAATGCGTCCCTCTACTCAACAATCTTCGCTGGGTCCAGACACGATTCTCACCTATGAACTGCTATGTCCACTCTCCCGTTGGCACTTTGATAAGTAGCACCGTACTCCACACGATGATCAGATAAGGCTATGTCGCATTTTGATTGTATATCACGAAAGGGGTTTCACCTTCGGGTATAGCTAAACCCGGTGAAGGGTGAGTCTAATATGCCACACCATCGTGTAATACGTAGTCCCACTTGATTATCACTCTAAGTTGCTGGAGCAGCTGCTAGTCTCTTGGGAGATAAGCGAAGAGTATTCGAACTTGGCATACGTCCTGACTGCGAGTAGTTCAACAACAGATTGATAGCGTGTAGCAGACGACAGTTGCAACGAAAGCTGCAACTGATTCCATCAGGTCTGACCTTCCTACCGATAAGATCAGGCGCTGGCTTTGTCCCCCGGATCCGTCTACAAACGCTAATCACGCGAGGACGCTCCGCCATGTGGGGATAGGCGCGTGGCTCCTAGAAAACCCCGTCTTCCAGTCGTGGCACTTAGGGTCACGTCGACATTTATGGCTGTACGGGCTCGCGGGATATGGAAAGACGGTTCTTAGTACGACTGTGCTCGATCATCTCGCGAAGGGAAGCGACGGTCTTATCCTCAGCTTCTTCTTTGACTTTGGCGACACCACAAAGCAGACCTTAGATAGTATGCTACGGTCACTAGCTTTCTAGTTTTACTAAGGTGGGGTTGGCTCTGCAATTCATCTGAATGCTTTAAGCAATCGAATAGCAGCGACCAACCTACGATAAAGGCACTCTCGGTTATTGCTTTTAAGATATTCGGAGTCTAGAGGAAGGTCTTTATCTTTCTAGACGTATTAGATAAATCGAAAAATATGGATAATATTCTCTAGTATATTAAGGACGTAGTGTCTAGGCTAGAGTTAGTCTATATCTAGCTACCTTATACTAGTCGACCTAAATCCAAGTTTCTACGCGATATTCCCCCTTTAATAGAAAAGCAAAACTGCCTACCACTTAATAAGTAGGCTATTAACTCCGATATCCGATCATAGGTTACAGTATGACTTTCTTAACGTCGTGACTTTATAGAGAAGCCCTTATCCTAGGATCTTCTCGAGGAGATCCGGAAGAAGGTTAGATGGAAATTGATCTGCAATATTAGTAGCCGATTTACCGGCTGAAGTTGAAGCAAAAGATTGACTGTTTGCAGGCGTCGACGTGAATATCGGAGTTAGACATTGATTAGCACGGGCTGTTCTAGAAGCGGATCTGCCGATTGTAGTTGAGAACGAGGACTGACTGCCCATAGAGATCGGCGTGGTTGTCTAAGAGGAAACTGTATTACCGATGCTACATTTACTTGGCACCTTAATACCGTTTTCTAGCATATAACTAGACGTGTCTCCCTATCGGTTAACGAAAGATACGGTGCCGGTTTTGTTCACTATCACCTAGGCGACCTGCTCTCTATTTTCGATGCTGTATATATTAACTTTCACCGACTTATCGTCGGAACTAGCACTAATGAAACCTAAGGAGTGTTAATAATAGCCTAAGGGCCTTTGATTCAAATTAGGTACTTACTCGAGCAATCTTTGCCTTTTAGCTTCGTAAAGGTTGCTAAATAGCCTATGCAGCCGGGCCTCTATCACCTGTTCATTCCCAAGGGAGTGTGCTGGGCCTCTTCGAGGTGCATTCAAAACGGGCACTGGAAGCACCTAGGAGGCCAAGAATAAGTCATTACATACAGACAACTATCACGCAGCAAGCAGTGGAAAAAGGCTTCCAGCATGAAACGGTGGCTAGTCACGTTAATCTGGTCAGTTTTTAAAAACCGACCCTTGATATTAGGGGCAAATCAACTAACTGAGACTTTAGTTGTTCGGCATCAATCATAATAGGTATTGTACTTATGCTCATACAGTGGATTCGGCCTAGCCCGATTTTTCAATTTAATCAATTATGGGACCCGGAGAGCGTGAGCAGAACTTACCAAGATTTTAGCAGCTCAGGTTGGTCTCCGATGAGCGCCGTACTCACTGCAAACTCAGCCCAATTGTTGGTCACGGTTAGCTACTATTTTTACGATAGTGTGCTTACTAGTATGCTGGCGGTCGCAGAGTATAGCTCTTATGGAGCAGGTCGCAAGCCACTTCGAGTCACCCGGCTCGTCAAAGGCAGCCAGCAGCATTCAACCTACTGGCTCAGTGTGCCTTATCAGTACGGCATTCCTATAATGGTACTGTACATGGTACTCCATTGGCTTGTCTCAGAGAGCATATATTACGTTCAGATGACACCTTACAGCGTGGACGATCAACCGCTCTATGACATGGAGAGCAGTTCGCTAGCCAGACGCCTTTTCCTTTGCTTTTTGCCGTTGTGGTTAGGTTCCTCATTATCTCCTTTTTGGTTGCTCACTCCTTTCGGAGATTCAAGTCTACAATACCATTAGCCGGGTCTTGCAGTGCTGCAATCAGCGCCGTCTGCCACCCTCCCAAGAATGATACAGACACTGCAGCCTTGGGTCAATTGGTGTGGGGAGAGACTGATCCGCCACCAGATTGGGTCATCGACCAGAGCGGCGATGATGATCACGAAGGGCACTGCAGTTTCACCTCGCTGGATGCAGTACAGCCTTCTTCGACAAAATTATATGCCAAGCTTATTTCCAATTATCTTTTCTTGGTATCTGAATTTATATTTTTATTATTAGCAGATAAATTGTTACGATATTTCTTGATCCTGTGTGTTGGGAATGTCCTGTACAACATTAGGTTTCAGCACCCAACTGTACTACAGACTGAGCATCGAGATTACACGCTCCTGAGGGATAAAAGGGACCAGTCTTGTATCTACTGTAGTTCCTTAACATTCAGTCTCTGTGTTAATAGTAGATTGTGTATGGACAAGGCGGTATTATCAGTAGAGCTGTAGGTAGCGGGATTCTCGATATTGTCGCCGACTTCTGAAGGAATGACCTGGCCAGAGTATGTCGAGATCTCCGCTACCCGCAGCGTTATCAATGGTACTTTCTAGGTTTGCAACACCTATAAGGAAGCGGTACAATGAGTTCTCGGCTTTCTTACCCCTCATAATTTCTACGGTGTATTAGAACCTAAATGAACACTAAACTGGAGGCTTTTCGTACTCAGATCTTTCCTGTTTCCAGCTACCACCGCTAGCTGTTCCAAGGTAATCACTCAATAATGAGACAATCCTTCAATCCTTCGAACATCATCCTAGTAGGTAATGGAAATATTCCTTAACCAACTAGTTTCAATCTATGGTCCGTTCATAGTATCATTCAGATATCAAACAGCTCGCAGAATTACTAAATCCTTCTTTTTCACTCGCATGTATACTCGATAGCCGCAATCAAGGTGGCCATAACGTCAATTGAAACCGGTGTATCTCCGAAATACACGCACTTGGCGAGCGCAGCCTGCTAGGCCGATCTCAATATCGGTTCTGCCAAAGTACAAGTACACGCATACGCCAAGATTCAATCAATACAGTGGTTTATCATAAGTATTTGACCTTCGGTACTTCGAGCCTTGACTGCCGATCATACCGTCTACTTGATTAGGTTATAACCTCGCGCGTCTTAACAGGATAGTTCACACGCTATATACCAACGCATTCTAATACAACTTGACATTCTTGTGTTTGGATATGCCTTTGATACGCGGGAAGGGGGTAGTGGATGATGTTTCTAATTATGAAGGATACCCTACTAGCTATTAGATTGAAACTGAAGTTCTGAGGTTTCTGCTAGGCAGTATGACAAAGTGGGCCTTAGGTCAAAATACCGGAGGTCAAATACTTATGATACCACTGTAGATCTTCATTGTGTCAGGGGCTCCACTGTGCTCGGCCATCCTCCTGCATGTACATATGGCGCAAGACCCGGTGTTATGGCTAGCAAACCTTGGGGGCCGGGAAATAGTTCCAGACCTTTTGGCCGGTGCTTCCAAGCTCCACCATGTAGCCTAGAGACGATAGTCACGATAAGTAACAAGTAATGACACATTTAAACAGGTTTATATTGAATTGATTAGACAAATATACCTAACATCATTGCCAGTCTTTCAAGTTTCAATTCATGGTAAACGTGGAGGAAAGCACCTTAGACCACCTGGGCAGGATGCGAGAACAAATGCCACCCAACTATGTACGGATCTATCTCTATCTCTATCTATATTCTACTACCCTAGCTCTGATCCACAGTAGGGTAATCGATGTAGTGGAAAGCATTATCCTCGAATGGACCATAGAAGCGAGTTCGGTCATAAGGAGTCAAGGGCAACTTCTCCTTCAAGCGGCGGACAAAGTCCGGGTTGCTGATGTAGTACCGGCCATAGATCATACCATCATACTTGCCGGACTCGACCACTCCCCAGGAGTTCTCTTCATTCCACCCACCACCAGAGAAGAAGGGGGTGGAGCCGAAGATCCGACGGAAGCGATCGAGGGTAACGTCTGCGAGACCCCAGCTCTCGAGGAACTTGTCCTTAGTTTCAACATCGAAGATTTGCTCATAGCGCTGACTCAGTTAGCAGGGGAAATCAGGCAGAAGTAAAAAGACAGATAACATACCGGCTCAATAAAGCTAACATAAGACAGCGCCGGCAAGGACTTCTTCAAGCCCTCACAGAGGTACGACCAGGTCTCTAAACGCTGCTCCCCACGCGCCTGATTAAACAAACCAAACGGCGACAAGCGAATCGACAAATTCTCCTCGCCAACCGTCGCAGCAACAGCACTCATAAGCTCAAAGACAAACTGGCACCTCTTCTCGGGGGTACCACCATAGCGATCCTCTCGCTTATTGATGTTGGAGCTCAAAAACTGCTCAGGCAAGTAACCATTACCAGCATGGATTTCAACACCATCGAACCCAATTTCAATAGCGGTCTTGGCAGCAGCACAATAATCAGCGATAGTTGTCTGGATGTGTTCCACTGTCATTTCGACCGGTGGATGTTTCGCGTACAACACGGGCGAAGTGGAGCCCTCGGGCGGGTGCGAATAACACTCCGTTGGGGAATCCCACACACTTGCCGATGGACAGACAGCGGGCGATCCGGTCATCTGTGGGATTGTCGCTCGGCCTGCGTGCCACAGCTGGCAGAAAATAAATCCTCCCTTTGCATGCACGGCGTCGACGACGCGTTTCCAGCCGCGGGCCTGTTCGGGGATGAAGAGGCCCGGAACTCCGGGCATTCCATTGCTCTGAAGAAAAAAATTGTGTTAAAGTTTGAGATGGAGACGCGAACAGTGCGGAAATGAGAAATAGGTTGATTTTGACTGTTGTCTGTTTTGACTGTTTTGGCTTGTTTTGGGGCTGATTTAGGGTTGACAGCTATACACACTTACCTCCAGTGATGGTGGGATGCCCTCGGATATCATCAAGCCACCTTCAGTTGCTCGTTGGGAGTAATACTCCACCATGAGGTCCCCAGGAATCCAGATTCGATTGGGATTCTCTGGAGTGGAAGCTTTCAGTGGCTCGCCACGGTTGCGGGTCAACGGCGCGTGAACCACACGGTGTTGAAGGGTGATTTTGCCATTGGAGATAGTCAGGGGTCGGAATAGACCGGAGTCTTTGCCGCTGAGCTGATGGATGGTCATTTTATCGTCTATAATATTATGTACGGAGTACGGAGTACATGTAACAGGGAGAATTGAAACGACTATGGCGCACGGAGTGAACAATACATATGAAAGTGTCAAAGGTGTCAGCTCGGCTACGGGAACATAGGGTTCGACTATTCCCAAGTTGTGTAATGGTCAAACGACGGACTCGTGGCGATCTCGTGCACATATTTGGGTCGGCAAATAACAGACAACAGTCGCTCGGACCTCTGATGCATTGGTGGAGACTCGATTACCTCGGCTAGGAATCGCCCAGAACTACTCGATTGGAGCACACTCGGCGCAGACTTCTATTCCGTGGTGGAACTATTCCAATTCCCCGATCAATCACGTCTGCCCATGGCGTAACGCCACGGATCGATAGCCTTCCAGTCTCCACTGGGGATCGCCGTCGGCGCTTCGGTTGCCCTTTTCATCAGATATTTTTGTCAAGATCGTATTGAGTCGCATGCACTGGTTCCATTGTCCTTCTTTATCCCATCAGCTCCCCAGGGTGATGTGATCCTTTGTCTTTCAGCCCATCATGTCTGACCACCCAACGGATGTTCTCAACACAATCAATCTCGTCACGCAATGTCTCTGTATTCCGATCGTTACTCTCTTTGTCGCCTTGCGCTTTTACACCCGGATACGATTCAAGCAAACCCTGGGGGTTGAAGATTGTATGTTTCTTCCTGTTCACTATTCAGCTCCTTCTAACCTGTCTTCTAGATAGCTGTATCGTAGCTTGGGTACGTTCAATTAACCTCGGACTCCTCGACAGAGACTAACATCAACTAGCTATTGTTCATGGGATACTGCGCAATCAGTATCGTCAGTAAGTACCACCTATCTATCCCAATCTAACCAAACCACCTCTAACAATCCCCCAGTCGGCAAACATGGCGGCGGCTACCACTTCGACGAACTAGACGGCGCAACCCAAATCCAATTCAAAAAGTTCTGCTACATCGCAACAATCCTTTACTGCCCAATGGCTCTCTTCGTCAAAATCGCCCTTCTTTCAATCTTAACCCGCATCTTCGCTCCTTACCGCGGCAAAGTCTGGTTCATCTACATCTTCCTCGGCTGTCTCTGCTGCTACTACACCGTCGCTCTCATCATCAAGATCCGCATGTGTGCCCCGATCCCAATGTACTGGCTCGGTCCAGTGGAGGGCGGCTCCTGTCTCGACCAAGCCGCCGCTCTGATCGCCGACTCGGTTATCAGTGTTGTCAGTGATATCATCATCCTCATCCTGCCCCTGCCGCTCACGTGGTCCCTGCAAATGTCGCGGAACCGCAAGCTGCGCGTGATGGGTCTTCTCGGTGCTGGTGGTTTGGCTACAGGGTTCAGTCTGTACCGTCTAGTTCTCGTGTTGAAGGATGGTAACTCGACCGACATGAGTCTGATGTTTGTTCGAGTCATCCTGTCTGGGTATGTTATGTTCACCCCTGTCCCTTTGCATTCCATTCCCATCCCCGTTCCATTCATGAACCTAACAAACAACAGAAATGCCGAAGGAGGCGTCGGTCTAATCTGCGCCTGTCTCCCAATCCTCAACGTCCTCCTGGCCCACTACAAAAAGACAGTCTCGGACAAATACTACCAACACAGCTCGAACATGGCCCTAAGCGAACGCGAACGCAAGTCCGCCCCGTCCAAGGTTGCCTCCGAATGGGATAAGGCCACTGCATTCGGTGATCAGAGCCATCTGATTTCGTTCGCTGGTGCGCCCGAGGCGAGCGAGCCTTATAACCCTGAAGACGGGATTCGGAAAACGGTCGCTGTGTCTCAGACTGTTGAGGCTTCATGACCATGACGTGCATGTGTATTGTACATGAGTTTTTTTTGGCTCTCCCTAGCCTTTGCGCCTTTTTTTGGTGCCTTTCTTTTGGTTGTGTATACCCTTTTGTGTATCTATAATGAATTCTCTAGAATAATAGATTCGATATTATTTGATTATCTGATATTGGGCAGTTTGATTCGGTTCAATATATACATCATGTGTGAGTGTGACTCGATGTTTATTCCAAGATTGGGCTTCGGGGTTTATCTAGCTTGATGATCGGGTTTTATACTTTAAACGGCCGTGCAGAGAAGAATGGTGGAAGCTTCCATGGCTTTTTTGATCCTGCAGGAATAAGCTTAACGGTCCTCGTAAAATGATCGGCCAATGGCGGGATGTGATGGCTCTTTGACGTGGTAGGGGTATATGAGCCAACCAGAGCCAAGTCCATATGATGCTCTAAAAAAACAATGCCTTTCACTTAACTTAGTGTACATATTTTTCAGTTGCCACTTTGACAATATCTTCTCCATATCTTCCTTAATATCTTCCACTCAAGCCATTACTAAAACCTAACCAGAAATAACAACTACCCAAAATCACCCTCATCGAATTGAAGGATTCGGATCAAAAAGCCCGGAATTATACCAAAGCCCATCCAACCCCGCATCAAACCCCGTAGACCAAGAAGCATCGATAAAAGGCCATTGAAACATATCAGTTTCAAAATCATGATGGCCACCAAGCGAAGCACTATCCAAATTAGAGTCACCCTGCAGACCGGGCGACAAAGATGTCCTCCCATGAGCAGCATGTGAGCTATGAGTATCGCCCGACTCGGTAGTCGCCGCTCGAGTCCCGTGTGCATCTCTACTCGGTCGTGATCGGATGTCGCCGTATTCGTCCAGTGTTCCTGCCAGTGCGAAGCGGCGCGGACTGTGCATTCCTGAGTCCGTGTTTGTCTGGTTACTTTTTACGGTTTCGTAGAAGCGGTTTGCTTCTTGGACCGTTCGCCACTGTTTTTATTGTTAGTTTGGATGGATGGTTTATGGTGGATGGTGATGGTGGAAGGGAAGGGAAGACTTACCCAGCTGCGACCAACTGGCCAAAGTTTACTTAGTCTTTCGAGGTAGACGAGGTTTCTGCTCTTCTCTTCTTCCGCTCTTTCCGGGCCCCCAGGATATCGTTGTGGGGCGATTGTTCCGTACATGTTGATATGGGCGGCGACGAAGACACTGAAGCCTGAGTATGGTGATATAACCGGTGCGCCAGAGGCGTCGAGGGCTGAGAGGATTCCTCCAATCTGTTGGGCTGCTTCGAAGAGTTGTTTGATTGTATCTGGCTCGCCTTGGATGTCATCATTTGTGTCGTGGAATACGTCGGCATGTGGTTTGAGATTTGATAAGAAGCGATCGCGGTGAAGGAATAGTATGCTTCGGAAAGATCAGTATCGAAATCACGACTTCATCAGGGATGGTGTGCATACCTCATGCAATACACCAAATTGATATATGCGAACAGCTCTCCATACCCAAGAGCCACGTGAGATTGAACACTAGTATCGGGATATCGAACGGTATTATCCTGGAGAAACCTCCATTCATCCAGTTCTTCTTTTAATCTCTGCCACGTCAAAAGCAACGGTGATGTCGCGGAATCATCCGAAGACATAGAAGCCAGCGCGCGTCGATGTTCATTCGCAAATCTCAAAATTCGAACGAAGATGTCGAATCCTCGAGTTACAATTGTGAGACCGTGCTCAATTGTCAGATCCCTGGCCAATGCACACCCCTTGTTCATATCAGCGGGCATTAACCTGCTAGCGGGCATATGATTGAAAGTAAAGTCCCGGTCGCTGATTGGGAGGGGTACAGAGATTTGAGAGAATGAAAGTGCAAAATGTTGCCGTGCTCCGGAACTCAGTTCGCAGTCTTGCGCGAAACAGCACCAGTAGGTCCTGACCAGTTGTTCGTATTGTGTTTGAGATGCGTGGAATTCTTGCGGGTTGTGTTCCATGCTGTCATCTGCCATTTTGAGAAGTGATTGGATCATGTAGGTAGCCATTCCTGCTACTTGTCAGCGAACAGTCTATATTTGTATCCACGAAATTCAGACATACCACTGTACATCCACGCTTGATATGGTCGTCCAGACCCCCATTCATAGAATGAGATCATCACAAGCGACTGGGCAAGGTAGAGCGACGGAGCTTCAAGAACGCGCTGGGCCAGATGTTTGCGCGCATAGTCGGCATAGAAATCCTCTTCTTTAAGTTCATCACTGCTCATGAACCGGACGCACAATGAAAGAACCGAGGCAACGAAAACGGAATCGACCGAGTGGACGTTGGCGGATATGTCGGAAATTAAAGAAGGGTAGTGCAGAAAGTTGGTGATGGGGAACTTCTTTCTGTAGGTTTCTACTGCGCTGATTACGATCGCTGGCGACAATGCGGTGATGGGGTCATCCGCATCTGGAGCCGCCGTGGCACTGGCATTCTGAGCGGTCACTCGATCTGTATTCCTGAGGACTGGCGATAAGGCCGATGAGGCCTTTCGTTTTCTTGGACTTCTTGATGAGAGGGTGCTCTTTCTTGAGCTCTTTCTTGCGACGCGTGGATCTGATAGGCTGCATTCTTGGTTTTTGGTCTTTTGGCAGCGTTGACAGGGTGGTTGTCCCTCATGGATGCATTTGACTTTTGCTTGGCTAGGCGGTTGTTCAGTTCAGGTCATGTAGTAAGACTTCCTGGTACTACTCACCGACAAGCATCACATGATATTGATAGCCGCATCGAGTCTATACTCGAGTGGGTGGAGCAGGGGTAGATGAAGAAGTGACGGCCATGTATCGGGTATATCAGGAAGCCAAGCGCGTCGGATTAACGTAGGAGCGCAATTGGACCATTATGTTTACTTTCATTTATTTTTGGCGAACAAAGGAGCAGACAGATGCGCAAGGAAGCGAGAGTTGAGCTTCGGGAGGTATCGCAGCATCCGAATGTGGCTAAGGGCGATCAGGTGATCGGCCTAAGCTGTGAACTTTGAACATCGACATGATCTTGACTTTGTGTTATATTATATATTAATGCGTCTATTTTAATGGTCATTCCATCAATAGCAGGAAAGTGGCAATTCACTTGGCTGCCGCAGTCCACTGCTGCACCCACGCATTGAACTTATCTATCTGCAGCTCATCCGTCGCCCAAGAGGTCACGAAACGAACCACCGCATTTCCATCATCAAGCTGCTCCCAAGTATAGAAACGGAATCTGTCCTGCAGTCTCCGAACTAATTCCTGGGGAAGGATAACAAACACCTGATTTGTCTCCGTATCCGCAGCAAGCCTATATCCAAGCTTCTCAAGATTGATGGAAATCTTCTGAGCCATCTCGTTGGCATGCGTAGCCAATGTGAAGAATAAATCTGACTTGAACAGCTCCATGAACTGAACTCCCAAAATGCGTCCCTTAGCCAACAAGGCACCATGCTGCTTGAGGTGGAAGACGAAGCCCTCGGCCAGGTGCTGCTTGACGACGATTGCCTCCCCCATCAGCGCACCAGCTTTGGTTCCACCAATCCAGAAAATGTCTGTCATCTCGAAGATATCGCGGAGCGTGAGATCATTCTTAACAGAGCAAAGCGCAGTTCCGATTCGAGCTCCGTCCATGAGAAGCAGGAGATTTGACTGCTTGCAAATAGCCGACAAATTGCTAAGCTCGCGTTTCGTGTAAACGGTTCCAGTCTCCGAGGCATTAGAGATATAAAGAAGGCGAGGCTTGGCCATATGAGGGAAGAATTGATTTTGCTGAATGGCTTTCTGGAGATTCGTGGGTGTCATCTTGCCATCGACGGCAGGAACAAGGATAAGCTTGTGTCCGGTTGCCTCAATTGCACCGGCTTCTTTGCAGGCAATATGTCCCGACTCGAGAGTAATAACAGCCTCGTATGGTCTTAAGCAGCTGGCGATTGAAATGAGGTTTGCGGATGTGCCACTGGGAACAAAAAAGATATCGGCTTCGTCCTCGGCACAGCCGATCTTGTTTCGGATCAATTGTCTCGCATTGTCACTGTATTCATCTGTTCCGTAGGTGGCTTGTTGTGTGGAATTCGTTCGTAGGAGAGCTTCTAGGATTTGGGGGTGAGCTCCTTCGCTGTAGTCGTCCATCAGGCTGTATGGAAGACATGCCTCCTCTTGGCATAAGCTGGTTGAGGGCATGGTGGGTATTAATTGGATGGTCAAGATGAATGAAAACAACAATTGATAATTGGAATAGAGCTTTCAAGAGAGGAAACAAAGAAACCGCCACTGAGTCACGGTGACTAAATATAAAGAATCTTCGGGAATAATTTTCTCGGGAATATTGCCACATTTATTCCCGAAACCCGGGAATCCCTTGCTGAATTCTTATCAAGTAACAGCTGTGGGCCAGAATCGAGGGGTACACACCTCTTTTGGGGTAAAACGCCGTCGAGTCTTGTCGTGCGGGGTGTTTTACACGTCTGTAAAAAGATTCGGAGATATTCCAGATCTGATTGTGGGCCAGTTTAGCACGCCGGAGGTTCTGGAACTGCAAAAATAAGACACCGGGCAATTGAATTCCACTTGACAAGCTAGTCATGGCTATTTTGTGTCTCTCGTGTTTCCTTATTCGCCTTCTGTCACCATTGATCTAGGACAGCCCGGGTTGCCATAGTTGCTTGAAGCATACAAGCTTGTGGAGTTCGCGAATTTAGCATCAGCCAACCCTTGCTAGTGCGGGGAGCCTCATAGGTTGATCTTTCCCGAGATTTTATCCCACACAACACAAACATCAAATATGCTCGAGGTAGATCTAATATGATCCAAATATATTGGAATTACCAAGATACCTGAAATAGGTCATCAATGAAGCCAGTTCCCAGTACTATATACACATTGGGCTGCGTTCCACATTCCCCAGAATGATATAATATACAAAACTCCCGCAAATAATGCAAACATGTCATCTTTTTGACACATTAATCCTCATGATGTGTAGATCGCAGGTGCGCCTGCTCCTCAGGGAATCCATCCTCCATCTTAAGACGCTGATACAGCCGGACCCGCCAGCCACGAATGACCAGATAGCTTGCCACAACACCACAGAACAGGCAAAGAAGCAAAATAAAAGCGAATAGACCGCCAATGTTGCGAATAGCCTCGTAAGAGTGGTTGAGGACTTGGATGGTCTTTTGTGTTTGGGTGTCCATTGCATCGGATGAGGTACGGCCCGCCTCGTCTATGACATTGTCTCCGCCGGTCTTGTCGCTCGCTTGGTAGATAATCGAGGGATCGTTAGGGCGGGGATGGCTTGACTTTCCTTTGTATCCAACAGACTTCCAGTTGGGGTACTTGGTGCGATGCACCTCGGACTTGCCAAGGACGGTGCCGTTGACATCCACGGCCTCGGCTGATACCCAATCGAGGTAACCAGCGCTAACAAACATGGTTTCGAAGTCGAACTTAGGAGTCGATCCAACGAGCACGGGGAAGTGGAATTCAGAGGCTTGGGCGTAGAAGTTCCATGTCGCGACCTCGGTGGCTCCGTTCCAGCTGACCCAGAACGAGGTAACCATGTTGGTCTCATCGGTGCCAGACACCGAGGCCACCACATCGGGCGGGGTGTTGGGGCGGCCAGTAAATTCAAATTTGTATCCCCGGTAGCTCGAGTAGCGGGGAGATGTGAAGTTCGCTGTGAACAAGAGTTCTCCGTCGGCACCATGCTCAGAGATATAGCCTCCTTTGCTCCAGCACGTGAACACATTGTCGTTCGGGAGCTGCTGGGTGTTTCCACGGAGTCTCGAGAGTTCGCTGTCAGGGCGGTTGTAGCGTCGAATAACACGCGCGGTCATTGGGTTTGCGCCAGTGTCCAATTCCACAAACATAGACGACGACATATTCTCCTCGTTAAATTCCTCATCAGATGCGTTGTTCAAGAAAGAAATGATATGGTGTGTCCCATTCGATTCCACGAATTTCGCGTCGTGCTGCTTGGAGAAGGTAAAGTCTTGCTGGAAATTAGTATAAGCTCCGCCCAGTCGCCACATAATGTCTCCATTAATGCCCGAGATCATATAAATAGTATTGGTGAATCGCGCCGAGATCAAATAGTCGCCGGCCTCATTCTTGTCAACAGAGTTGATGTGCACATAATCCCAACCTGGGTGTCCTTCCGCTGCCGAGTCCGGGCCGTAATGGACACTCTCGTAAAGAGGAATCCGATTGAATGAATCCCACCACTGAATCACCTCGGCTGTGTTCATGTCGATCTCCGCAAATCCACCAGACTCGAGCCAGGTAGGCTCACCAGGGCGGCCAAAGTCCTCGAGGGTAATTTCATGGGAGAGGTAAATGGAGACCAGCGCGGACTTGCCATCGGGGCGAATGTTAAACTCGTGAATGTCGAAAATACCCAGGTCGCGTCGCAGAGGCAGTTTTCGGTCCTGTTCATAATCGTTCCTCAAGACAATTCCGAAGCCAGAATCCTCTCCTCCATCCCACGAGTGTTGCAACACCATGGAGAGGTGCGGGTCGGAGCCAAGACTGTTGGTAACCTTGAAATCGAAGACATTGCGGTTGTCAAACTGTTGCGAGCCGGTCCAGACGAGGCGCTATAATGCGAGAATGCAGTTAGTTTGTGGGTTTGCCTCGCGGAATAGTGGAAACGCACCCCTTCGTCATCGTAGATGTGCGGACCGATCTGGTATTGTTCGTAAAGACTGCTCGGTGGGTCGGGGTCGATGTGTAGGTATGGCGAGACAAACCAGTACCCGGGACTGACCCGCTCGCGATTGTGGTATTCGATGTTGAATTTCAGTGCTCTTACATCGGGGAGCTGCAGTTTTAACACGGTGTCAGCGTAGGGTTTAAATGGTGGGATTCGTGACCGCGGACCGTAACGAAGGAGAAGAGGTCATCACTGGAGTACTGTGCCAGCACAGTCTGGCATAGCCATACCAGTAAGACGCTGAAAAGCAGCATGGTTCTAATGAGTGACAAGGTACAACATCAGGGAAGAAGGGAGACAGGAGGTGAAGCGCGCCCAGACGGGCAAGAGGTCTGCGGATCTGAGCATTCAGGGCCCTGCCACCCGAGGGGCCAATAACGGCCACCGTACAGTCAAGCGCCAGTTATAATTGGGCCCAAGTGACGCAGGGAAGGGGTTGAAACGGAGGCCTTTCCCAGGCTCCATGTTAAATTCCGGTGGACCCTTCTGCTAGAGGCTTCGTCAGCGGGAGACGATCGCTGTGGGATTTTTTATTTCAAAAGGTTCTGGTGTTTCGTACACCCTTCCAATAGCCTTACCTAGTATACTGTACGTCTTAAGTCTCCGCAATATTGTAGATTAGTCCACTTAAAACGTCTCTTTCTACAGTGTGATTTGGCATAAACAAACACAGAGTATTCTTGCAAGCAATTGCATCACGTGACTACGGTCACAGTTCGAAGTGTCCAGGTTGATATAAAGTGCAGTCTATCTATGAACTCTCGAGACTCGTGTAAAACGAACTATTATTACAACCCCAGAACCATAACAGCGTTTAACCCTCAGGCCTACAGCTCACAACCTAGAGAATACAGCAGACAACCCAAACAGATCCCAATTACCTAACTCTAATGCTTTAATCCGTGATGATATATTGAAACAAATACCCAACTCTCAAAATGCAACACCAAGTCCTAATCCCACAAGGGCCAACCAACTCCCAACAGGCCTCGCAACCGCTGCACCCTTCGACGGCGCCGCCTTCTCACCTAAAGACTTAGTCGGCTCACTCGTACTCTTAGCCGAAGCAGTCGTAGTAGCATCTGTAGGCGTAGCTTCAATGGCATTAGGACTGGGAGTCGTATATACATCATTAACGGTGGATCGGCCCTTGTCGTATGCGTTGGCGGTGCGGCAGTCGTGTTCGCTAAGGAGTTCGGCGGAGACGCGGTCTTCGCCGACGCAATCTGCGTAGCAGCTTTTTTTGATATGTCAGCTTCTATCTGGGTATGAGGTGGAATGGAAGTATGCTGTTGGTGGTTGGTGTACTTACCTGAAAATGTTGGCTGCGCCTGAACACTTGCAGTCCCAGTCACTTGAGGCGCATTTGTCGAGGCCTTTTTGCATTATTGCGACGCAATTTTGGACGAGTCTTTTGCGTGTTAGAGTCGCTTGCATTTTGGAAAATTGGATTATTGGGTGCTTACGGCACAGAAGAGCATTGCTCGTCACCGCTTGGGGCTGTGATTGTTGCGCTTTGAGCGGCGACAAGGGCAGTTGATGCCAGCACCAAAGACAGACTGGTGTTGAAGAAGCGCATTCTCAGGACGAATGTAGTCGACTAACAAATAAAGTTTGACAAATTGTGGAGGAATTGAGTCTCAACAGGTAGAATAGATCAAATGTAGAAGGATTAGAGCCAACAGAGGAATTGTCTTGATAATATATGACAGCTGAGCACCAAACCTGCGCTCAACCGTTACATTGCCTTTCAGAAAGGATGGATCCTTGGAAATCCTTTCCAAGGTTCTAACTTATCTGTGTCTATTCCCGGTACATGTACATGTAGCACTTTGACAGGTGGGTCTTGGACAGATCCCACATGGAGAAGTAGACCGGGGTCCACCAGAACGGGGGACATCTAGAGTTCAGGTACGATCTATGATCTAGATGATCATCTACGTACATTTCAGCAGGTTCGTATAATGGCTCCATTTATTTAAAAGGAAAGTAGATCAGTTCAGATCTACAAAAAGAACCCATACTTGTACTAGGATGAACATATCCCCTAGATAGGAGCTCCTCCAAAAAGCAAGAACTAACCAAGACCACCAAATGCAACCAATAAAACCATTTTCCGATCGAAAGTTACCTACAAGTGGCAACGGGAGTAGATAGCAAAGGGCAGCTTCGACATCATGACTCTTGCAAGGTCGCATTCCAGCCAGTATAGTTACATTCCTCGGTCAACAGAGCTGCTTCCGTCAGCCAATAGCAAAAGACTCAGAACCGTTTTGGGAATATTATGGGTCTCTCCTACGCTGTTTGTCTTGATTTTTTTTTCTTTTGTTTTAGATCCAGCGACGGTTTTGAGTTTGGTACCTGCATGGGTGCTGAGGTTAGTTCCGCCGTCCCTGGATTTGAATAGATTGCACCACGGTTTTCACTAGGAACTTGATGAATTAGGTTGAGATAATGCTATTTCTTTTCTATGTTCCCCTGTCAATAGTATTGTAGTTTGCGGCGGGAGCAAGCTCTGTGGCGTGGTTTGGTGGCTTGAAGTCCTGGTTGGTCGTACAATCTCCGTTTTTTGTCTTACCTTGAATTTATCTATAAAATTTATTTCGGGTTTTTGTATTCCTCATGTTCATATAAGGCCAATGATATCACTACAATAGATTTTTGTGCCACTTTGCTCACATTTGGAAGTGTTCTACTCGGTATATATAGGGCCGTTGCGCGCCCGCAATATGGATCATCAAGCTTCGCCTTCCAGCAATTCATCACCAACAAAGTGTAAAGCACTGAAAATATGATAGAGCAACAGTCATGGTATTCGTGTCTTTATATACAGCGGGTCTAACAACCCCAACCCTATTATCGTACAAAATACAGCCGAGAGAAAGCCAATCCATCACAGATCTAAGAGATCCACAGCCAGCAGTGAACCATGCCAAAAAAACAACCTCAAACCGCCAATCACCAAATCAAATACTTCCTCACTCCTCCTCATCCTCATAATTCCACAACTTCTTCCGCTCAGTAACCCACCAAAGCCCAACCTTCTCCGCCTTCAACACCCAATCCACAGCCTCAGGCCCAAACTTCGAATAAACATCCGCAGCAAGACCCCCCATAGACCAAGCCGTAGCAGGGTCAAGTTCAAACGGATCCCTCTCCAGATCCGTAAACCGATACTCGAAATCATTATTCAGCGGCAGATTCAACCGCCACGGCACAGCCGCCGATCCAACGCTGAGCATCGTCCCGCCGGCATTGATGACGCCCATGTTCCATGCTTCGCGGCCGTTGTGCGAGGCGCGGTACGGTCGGATTAGGGATTGGCCTTCGTATTCGTTCATCAGATCCTGGGCGATGATTGAGTCGGCTTCGTTCAGGGAGGATGTTGTTACTAATAGGTCGAGGATTGTGGGCAGGATGGAGATTGCGCTTCCGTTTACGTCTAGGTGTAGGCGTGGTAGGAGTGGGTGGTGGAACAGGAGTGGTACGCGGAAGTTGCTTATGTGTGGGTTTTGGTAGGTTCCTGTTACTGGGCAGTCTTCTCGGAAGGCTTGGCCGCTGGAGTTGAAGTTAGAGTTTGGCCTTTGTATTTGTTGGGAGGGGTTTGGGTTGGGTTGTTGGACTTACTGGTCTCCCACGAAGACTGTTAGGGTTTCGTCGGCGATGCCCGCTTCCTGAAGCATCTCCATTAGTTCTCCTAGCCAGGAGTCGACGAAGCTGTTTGCGTTGAGGAAGTCGTCCATTGCTTCGTGCTGTGATCGGTGTTTGTGTCCGAAGTACTTTTGGCGGTGGTAGTCTTCGGGTGTACCCCAGGGATGGTGGGTGGTACTCGTGAAATGGGAGAGGAAGAGCCTCTTATTCTGAGACAGAGTTTCGTTGATCATGTCTTTGATATAAGGGCCGACCTCGGTCTCGGCGTAGCTGAATGGCGTTAGCATAGACAAGCGAGCGGGACCACGGGTGTAACAACATACCCGAAATAATTGATCTTCTCCATACCATCGTGGTAGTACTTCGCATTGGTAATGTCAATATCCTCAGAGTACAAAGACTGATTGAAACCAAGCAATTCCATAAGCTCAGTTTGGTCCTGGAACCCTCCAGTAACAGACTGCGCGTAGAGAGTTTGCCATTCCCGCTCGCGGGGATCATTGGTGGAATTCTCAGAGCGAGATGAGGCGCTCTTGCGCTGGTTGAATAGATCCATGATGTGCATCAAACACGGCTGGTATGGAATGATATCATTCTCATGCATGAAGTCCACTGGCAGTGGACCAAGACCGCAGTAGTTGACAAGACGCGATTTGGCGCTGAGGCTGCTCCCAGACAATATCCCGTCGAAACTGATACCTCCAAATTCGGAGTTTATATGTCCAGATTGACCAAAGCCGGATTCTTCTCCAGTGAGCATTTCTGCGAATGGAGTGATCGTAGAGAGCTTATCATGCAAGTCCTCTACATCTTCGTCTGAGTAGATGTCGTATGTCTCACGGATCTGATTGTAAAGACGAGAGTCGGTCTTGAGAGGGAAGAGGTCCTTCCGGCCACTTTCCAAAAACACGAAGACGATGTGGTTGATCGGGATAGCGTGATCTTTCAATGCCTCCTGCAGAGGCCCAAGTGGATCTAAATCAAGGTTGGTGATGCGCGTGGGGTCCTGACTAGGGTTATAAAAGTATTGTCGTGGCCCAGTTGTCTTATTCCGGTGACCAAGATCGCCCTTGTCGTCGCTTCCGGATAGTTCAGTTCGAGATGTATTCGTAATCCCGGTCATGTTAGCTTCGGGATTCACAATCCACCTCTCGAACGCAAGAGGCAAAGGACCCTGCGCCCAAGCAGGCTTATCATTACCATAGCCACGGTTACCCGCGTCGTCCATTGTCGGCGCCCATCCTTTATAATGACCTTTGGCAGGTTCATAGAATTCCGCAGCCAGCAATTCAGGCAAAGGAAACGAGTCGACAGTAATCCGACGGGCGCGAGAGTGTTCACCGAGCAGGACGAACGGAAGAGCTCCGGTCATATGATTATAGGGTATGGTCGGTCGAATGAGCCACAGTCCGAGAGTCATACCGCTCCCAACAAGCGTCCAAAAGCGCGATCTATTGTAGTATAGACTCCTCAAATCTGAAGGGCCAGACTGCTGCGCATGTGGTGTCTTCGTATCTCCTTTGATATTCAATAAGGCGCATAACCAACGGCTCATCAGATTCCAGATTCCCTGAGCCGAAAGCCACGACGCAACCCCGATGGTAGTCGCGGCGGCGAGCATGGTCGCCATCCCGCTCAAGATCAACTTCATTCCCTGGCGACTGGCACCCACGGAGCGGGCAGCATCCCATCGAATCTCGCTTCCGGTTGAAGAATAGAAACTGATTTGCGATGCCGTTGCTACTAGATCAATCAATCTGGAGGTGGATTAATGTTAATGGAACTGCGCATGGTACTTGGACTGAAAGAGGAAACGGTAAACGAACGCGAGAAGGGCCGAAATAACAACTGCAGCCACCGACCACCGACCGGAGGTTGTGTATGATAGAAGCCATACTATCCCAAAAAGAAGGACTTCTTCGATAAAGAATGTTGGGAAATATAAAGCGAGCAGATATAGCGGTAGAGAGCGGTGTTGGTATATGTGCAATAATTTGGAACAGAGACCCGACAGTACCAACACAGCCAATATTAAGCGCTGGGGATGGTGGAAACGAGTGGAAATCATACTGGTCTGCCTGTGACCAACATGGGGGACTGTTCGCAACCCGCTAGGAAAGAAAATGGGAGGAGAGAAAAGGAGAAAAAGTCAGAGCGTGAAACTGAGAATTTGACTGCTCGCGTGCTCCACAAGCGATCGGAGTTGTGACAGGGCCACATCTATATAATTATTCTAAAGGGCATCGGAGGACCGGGGCGGACAAGGCCAATCCGAGATCGTAGGTGCTTTGCTACCACAAGTCCATTGCAGCTTTGATCGGATGATGATCACGATCGGCACAGCCTTACGAACACAATTCCTGGTCGACATGCATCGTTCAGGGGCCCTCCGTAAATTTGCGGCGGAGTGGACCCGCGGAGCCTCTCGGATACTTGGACGGAACCCCTGTCGCAGTTCTGGTCCAATGCGATTGGAGTTGGGAGCCCATGGATGGCCTGTTGGGGGCTATAATGTGTTGATGTGATTGGCCTGGTCGATCTGCCTAGAGTGTTGTCGCGGCTGGCTTCAATTGGCGGTCTTGGCTGGCGCTTTCGTACTCGGGTAGCGGAGGTACAAGACATGACGTGGTTGTCTCACTATTAGAACTTGAAAACTTGCATATACATAACTTGACAAGGCTGAGAGATATCAAAGAAGCTGAGTGATTGTATTCAGTTAATCTGGGTCTACCCGACCATTCCCACAAAAAGTTTGATCGTGAACTCTTAGGGCTGCATGCATCCCTACTCTGTGCATGTATAGATCATGCTAAGTTAATTATAGGAAGGCACTTCATATAAACCGCTACTTAACGTGTAGTACTGCGCTATACTGACTTGCGTCATTGCTTACTTTCCATCACACATTTGGTGGCCTATCTATGCTCCGGTCCCAGCTCAGGGGGACCCGATGGTTTAACGGGATAAGGTTGTAAACGGTGAGGCTTATGGGCCGGAACTAGCCAAAATAAAGCTTAATAGAATAGATTGTAATTCAATTTTATTATCCTATATATCACAATTCACTAATAACTCTTATATATATCGTCCTCCCTTCTTTTCCGCTTTCTCCCTAATGCCCGTAGCTAGGTACTACTCTCTAGTAGACTAGTAGTAGTAGGGCCTAGTATCACTATTATTATTATCACCATTATCACTATTATTATCTTTCTCTTCCTTTACTATCTTAATCTTATCTAAGGAGAAGAATCTTTTAAGCTCCTTTACCTCCTATTCTTTAAGGTTAAACCTTAATATATAAAGAATTATTATAAGCTCTATATTATATATCTTATAGCGGGTCTCTTTATCAATTATTTTCCTTAACTAGTAAGCGATTAGGTACTAGCGACCCTCTTAGTCTTACTGGCTAGCGATCCCTACGCCTTGTAGGTAGGAACAGTGCTGGGGAATTATGAAAGGGATCATTACAATTAGACACGTTCTCGAGCCGCCCAGTCAGCTACTAGTCCCAGTCTAAATTGGTGCATAGCAGTTCTGGGTTGGGACCAACTTTTGATCCTATATTTTCGTATATGAGGCTGCCAGGTTACCATTCTCCTATATTATTGGGATCAGAGACCTGATATGCTGGAAAGACACGTGGACTTTGTAGTTCTTACGCGAAAGCTTTAATTTCTAAGAGACGTGGGTTTCCTGGGCTACATAATCTATTCAAATGGTGCCATCAATTTGTTCCCAAGCACCTTCGCTGGAAAAGCCTCTTCGCCCAGGGTGGTGGTGTGCGCCCATGGCTTAAGCTCGTTCTCTCTGTGAATGGTAGCAGCAAAGCAGCGGCTCCATTTCATGCGCGGAAAATGGGCCGAGACATCCTCAATAGTCGAGGGATGAACATATTCCGAATAGGCGCCGGTATTGTCTATTTCTCATTAGCTTCCATATTTCACGAGCCCAGGGCAGATACGACTCACCAAAGATAGTTGCTAGCTGCAACAGCTGTCCAACAGCTGTGATCTTTCCAGTCTCACATAAGTCTTGGTGTCGAATGATAGCCTCGGCAACACTCTCAGCCTGGTCCCTTGGGGCGACTGCCTCTGGGGCTGAAGCTTGAGGCTTGGCTGAAGCTTGGGGCTTCTGCAAAACATCCAAAGCCAAAAAGCCACCATAAAACTCAAAGCTCAGTTTGGTACTCTTCAGGTTCTCCTCTGTGGATCCGATGTCGTGTAGCAGACAAGCGAGAAAGTACGTTTCATCGGTGAAGGCCCAGGAGGGGAATAGGTGCGACTTGATCGCCAACCCAAAATGGTAAACTCGGAGGGAGTGGTTGTAGGTTGGAGCCGGGAGGTGAGATTTTGCATATTTGTCGATACGCCGAGAGAGAGCCGTGTCTGGAACAGGTGTAGCCGAAACTGGGATGAAAGGCGCCGGAGCAGACGGTGTCAGGGATGACAGCAGTCCCTGTGCCGACGAAGGCACAGGTGTGAAACCGAAAACTGTTTCGTTGTGAGAATCCATATTCGAATGATATCCAAACCAAGTAATGCAATTAGATGGAATTTGCGAGTCGCTAATCTCAAGAGAGACCGGCGGGGGGGAGGAAGCTATTGAAATACTTTTACACCATAGTCCACAAGAGCTTTTTGGATTTCAAATCCGCCATCTCGACAAATCTGGCATTACCAATCGGGCTAGGAATCTGGTGTATGTTAATGGTGCAATTCAATAGGAGCTTGCGTTGTCAAGATACACTACTCCACGCCTTCAAAGTGGAGCCTCCTTTTTGAGTTTCTCCACGTGCAACCAACTTCCCTTTTCGGAATGTGTACCGTCGCCGTCGGGAAGATCTAGATCTCAGACTAGATATCGACTTAGTAATTCTTTTGCAGCGATTAGTAATATAGAACTTCCATGATATCTATTACAAATGTGATACTGTGAGAAGACATTAACGAAGCATCTGCCTTCATTGTGAAAGCCAAAACTCACATGATTACTCTTTTCTGGCCCCACTGCCAACGCCTTAGCGCAGATCCATCATTGAGCGGGCCGCATTAAATGGAAGGACACCGTAAAATGCAGCTTGTATGGTACGATACATTTCTACATGATATTACATGAGGTTACGGATTTGAGTAGAATTGTTTGGAAACCTATAGGATCTCTGTAAATCGTGCGGGGCCGCCTGGCGCCTTCTAACTTGATACATGAGGATCAATCAGTAATTGAGGGCATAAACAACTCACCAGTATCCTCTTTTTGCATATTAGCAGTACCGACGGATTATTTCACGGTAGCTCATGCAACAAAACGACCAACACTGGTGGCATTGTGAGAATTGATGCGTATGCGAAGTTAGTCGACATCAATCCTGTTGAACTGGGTGTGCTGAAACCGAAGACGGCAGGTCAAAGACAATCGCCTCAGTGCAACGTGTTACCACTACTAATCTCCCGCCACTACTGTTTACATTAATCCCTATATTGTACGTAGCACCCAGCATAGTGTTTTGGATTGACAGTTGGTATATATGACATGCTCTTGAAGAGATGAAGTCTGAAATACAACAGGACTGGGATGCATCGGGACACGACTTTCTTAAAAACATAGTTGGGAAAGGCCTTGAATCTACCCCACAATGCCGGAGATAGTCGGGATGATGCACCTTGGTTCACAAAACTATAAAATTATGCCACTTACCCTATTAAAAGCTCTAGAGCAGTCGATTCCGCCTTACTTCTGATACCATAGGAGATTTGATGCCACAGTACGCTGATATTTCATCCATGGAATCTGTGGAACACTAGTCTAAAGCAGGCAAGGCTGTGGATTCGTCCGCGCATTAAATAGATAGACGCGGGGCCCTTTCCATTCGGATTTGGTTACTATGTATCTATGATACGTCCCAGAATTCATAGTCACAAATGACTCTACTGGTTGCCCAGAGTCAAGTGATACTCATTCTCTTCTGGGGTGCTCTGCCAACCATATATACAACACTCCCCGCGGCTTCCGTCTCACGTCTTGTGGGCACAAAGATCGCGTTATGGAAGAGTCATTAACTTCTAATCAATTATACACTATTCGTACCGCTGTACGCGCGATGTCGACCCTATCTCTTCTAGCGTCAATTTTCATCATCACCAGTTTCATATTTAGTTCAGCATTCCGCAAGCCAGTTAACCGATTATTATTTTATGCGACCTGGGCCAATACTATATCAGCTATAAGCATGTTAATAAATACAGCACCCACAGACTGGCTCACTGTATCCAAAACGCTGTGTCAAGCTCAAGGATTCCTTATCCAGTGGTATGAATAACGGGGGTTAGAGATCCATGTCCTCTACTAACGAGTGAGTCATATATCAAGGTTCATACTTGCAGATCTACTTTGGAGTCTGTGCTTGGCCTGCAATGTATATGTCACAGTTTTTCGTGGTTATAACGAATCTCAGTTGCGGACACATGGAGTGGAGGTATGTCATCGTCTGCTACGGACTTCCACTTGTTCCCGCAATCGTTCTCTTGTTTATTGAGAGTGGAGTTAAAGGGAGAGTATATGGCCCGGCTGTTGTAAGTGCAATGCGAACACTCAAACTTCATCACCTTTTCTGTTAACTTC